GTGTCTTTTATACAGGTAACGAGCTGAGATTAGGAGCACACTCTCAAAGGGAGTACTCCTAATCTCAGCTTGTTACCTGTATAAACGACACCTGTCCACAGAAGCAATCAATCAATCAGATTCCAAACTCTCCACCATGGCCAAGACCAAAGAGCTCTCCAAGGATGTCAGGGACAAGATTGTAGACCTACACAAGGCTGGAATGGGCTACAAGACCATCGCCAAGCAGCTTGGTGAGAAGATGACAACAGTTGGTGCGATTATTCGCAAATGGAAGAAACACAAAATAACTGTCAATCTCCCTCGGCCTGGGACTCCATGCAAGATCTCACCTTGTGGAGTTGCAATGATCATGAGAACGGTGAGGAATCAGCCCAGAACTACACGGAAGGATCTTGTCAATGATCTCAAGGCAGCTGGGACCATAGTCACCAAGAAAACAATTGGTAACACACTACGCTGTGAAGGACTGAAATCCTGCAGCGCCCGCAAGGTCCCCCTGCTCAAGAAAGCACATATACAGGGCCGTCTGAAGTTTGCCAATGAACATCTGAATGATTCAGAGGAGAACTGGGTGAAAGTGTTGTGGTCAGATGAGACCAAACTCGAGCTCTTTGGCATCAACTCAACTTGCTGTGTTTGGAGGAGGAGGAATGCTGCCTATGACCCAAGAACACCATCCCCACCATCAAACATGGAGGTGGAAACATTATGCTTTGGGGGTGTTTTTCTGCTAAGGGGACAGGACAACTTCACCGCATCAAAGGGACGATGGACGGGGCCATGTACCGTCAAATCTTGGGTGAGAATCTCTTTCCCTCAGCCAGGGCATTGAAAATGGGTCGTGGATGGGTATTCCAGCATGACAATTACCCAAAACACACGGCCAAGGCAACAAAGGAGTGGCTCAAGAAGAAGCACATTAAGGTCCTGGAGTGGCCTAGCCAGTCTCCAGACCTTAATCCCATAGAAAATCTGTGGAGGGAGCTGAAGGTTCGAGTTGCCAAACGTCAGCCTTGAAACCTTAATGACTTGGAGAAGATCTGCAAAGAGGAGTGGAACAAAATCCCTCCTGAGATGTGTGCAAATCTGGTGGACAACTTCAAGAAACGTCTGACCTCTGTGATTGCCAACAAGGGTTTTGCCACCAAGTAGTAAGTCATGTTTTGCAGAGGGGTCAAATACTTATTTCCCTCATTAAAAATGCAAATCAATTTATAACATTTTTGACATGCATTTTTTCTGGATTTTTTTGTTGTTATTCTGTCTCTCACTGTTCAAATAAACCTACCATTAAAATTATAGACTGATCATGTCTTTGTCAGTGGGCAAACGTACAAAATCAGCAGGGGATCAAATACTTTTTTCCCGCACTGTATACAGGGGGGTACCGGTACAGAGTCAATGTGCAGGAGCACAGGTTAGTTAGGTAATTGAGGTAAATGTACATGTGGGTAGAGTTAAAGTGACTATTCATAGATAATAAACAGCGAGTAGCAGTAACGTAAAAGAGGGGGTGGGGTGGACAATGCAAATAGTCCGGGTAGCCATGATTAGCTGTTCACAAATCTTATTGCTTGGGGGTAGAAGCTGTTAAGAAGCCTTTTGGACCTAGACTTGGCGCTCCGGTACCGCTTGCCGTGCGGTAGCAGAGAGAACAGTCTATGACTACAGCGGCTGGAGTCTTTGAAAATGTTTAGGGCCTTCCTCTGACACCGCCTGGTATAGAGGTCCTGGATGGCAGGAAGCTTGGTCCCAGTGATGTACTGGGCCATACGCTCTACCCTCTGCAGCGCCTTACGGTCAGAGGTCGAGCATTTGCCATACCAGGCAGTGATGCAACCAATCAGGATGCTCTCGATGGTGCAGCTGTATAACGTTTTGAGGATCTGAGGACCCATGCCAAATCTTTTCAGTCTCCTGAGGGGGAATAGGCTTTGTCGTGCCCTCTTCATGACTGTCTTGGTGTGTTTGGACCATGATAGTTTGTTGGTGATGTGGACACCAAGGAACTTGAAGCTCTCAACCTGTTCCACTACAGCCCCGTTGATGAGAATGGGGGCGTGCTCAGTCCTGTTTTTTTTTCCTGTAGTCCACAATCATCACCTTTGTCTTGATCACGTTGAGGGAGAGGTTGTTATCCTGGCACCACACGGCCAGGTCTCTGACCTCCTCCCTATAGGCTGTCTCATCATTGTCGGTGATCAGGCCTACCACTGTTGTGTCGTCGGCAAACTTAATGATGGTGTTGGAGTATTGCCTGGCCATGCAGACATGGGTGAACAGGGAGTACAGGAGGGGACTGAGCAAACACCCCTGAGGGACCCCCGTGTTGAGGATCAGTGTGGCAGATGTGTTGTTACCTACCCTTACCACCTGGGGGCAACCCGTCAGGAAGTCCAGGATCCAGTTGCAGAGGGAGGTGTTTAGTCCCAGGGTCCTTAGCTTAGTGATGTGCTTTGAGGGACTATGGTGTTGAACGCTGAGCTGTAGTCAATGAATAGCATTCTCACGTAGGTGTTCCTCTTGTCCAAGTGGGAAAGAGCAGTGTGGAGTGCAATAGAGATTGCATCATCTGTGGATCTGTTGGGGCGGTATGCAAATTGGAGTGAGTCTAGGGTTTCTGGGATAATGGTGTTGATGTGAGCCATGACCAGCCTTTCAAAGCACTTCATGGCCACAGACGTGAGTGCTACGGGTCAGTAGTCATTTAGACAGGTTACCTTAGTGTTATTGGGCACAGGGACTATGGTGGTCTGCTTGAAACATGTTGGTATTACAGACTCAGTCAGGGACATGTTGAAAATGTCAGTGAAGACACTTGCCAGTTGGTCAGCGCATGCTTGGAGTACACGTCCTGGTAATCCGTCTGGCCCTGCGGCCTTGTGAATGTTGACCTGCTTAAAAGTCTTACTCACATTGGCTACGGAGAGCATGATCACATAGTCATCCGGACCAGCTGATGCTCTCATGCATGCTTCAGTGTTGCTTGCCTCAAAGCGAGCATAGAAGTGATTTAGCTTGTCTGGTAGGCTCTTGTCACTGGGCAGCTCGCGGCTGTGCTTCCCTTTGTAGTCTGTAATATTTTGCAAGCCCTGCCACAACTGACGAGCGTCAGAGACGGTATAGTGCAATTCGATCTTAGTCCTGTATTGACTCTTTGCCTGTTTGATGGTTCGTCAGAGGGCATAGCGGGATTTCTTATAAGCGTCCGGGTTAGAGTCCCGCTCCTTGAAAGCGGCAGCTCTACCGTTTAGCTCAGTGCGGATGTTGCCTGTAATCTATGGCTTCTGGTTGGGGTATGTACGTACGGTCACTGTGGGGACGTCGTCATCGATGCACTTATTGATGAAGCCAGTGACTGATGTGGTGTACTCCTCAATGCCATCGGAAGAATCCCGGAACATATTCCAGTCTGTGCTAGCAAAACAGTCCTGTAACTTAGCATCCGCCTCATCTGACCAGTTCCTTATTAACCGAGTCACTGGTGCTTCCTGCTTTAGTTTTTGCTTATAAGCAGGAATCAGTAGGATATAATTATGTTCATATTTGCCAAATGGAGGGCGAGGGAGAGCTTTTTACACGTCTCTGTGTGTGGAGTAAAGGTGGTCAAGAGTTTTTTTCCTCTGGTTGCACATTTAACATGCTGGTAGAAATGAGGTAGAATGGATTTAAGTTTCCCTGCATTAAAGTCCCCGGCCACTAGGAGCGCTGCCTCTGGATGAGCGTTTTCCTGTTTGTTCATGGCCTTATACAGCTCATTGAGTGCAGTCTTAGTGCCAGCATAGGTTTGTGGTGGTAAATAGACAGCTATGAAAAATATAGAAGAAAACTCTCTTGGTAAATAGTGTGGTCTACAGCTTATCTTGAGATACTCTACCTCAGGCGAGCAAAACCTTGAGGCTTCCTTAATATTAGATTTCGTGCACCAGCTGTTGTTTACAAATATACACAGACCGCCACCCCTTGTCTTACCGGAGTCAGCCGTTCTATCCTGCCGATGTAGTGTATAGCCCGCTAGTTGTATGTTGTCCATGTCGTCGTTCAGCCACGACTTGGTGAAACACAAGATATTACAGTTTTTAATGTCCCGTTGGTAGGATATCCTTAATCGTAGGTCATCCATTTTGTTTTCCAATGATTGTACGTTGGCTAATAGGACTGATGGAAGAGGCAGATTACTCACTCGCCGTCAGATCCTTACGAGGCACCCCAACCTACGTCCACGATATCTCTGTCTCTTTCTCATGCGTTAGAAAGAGTCCTCTTTCTGTCTGTCTTAATCACAACAGAGCTAAGGAATACAAATCCGTTTTTTTAGAATGCAAAGTATCTTTTTTTCTGCATGTTCCTGCAAGAGATGCTTTTAGTACTATGATGAAGGAAGAAAGCAGTACTAAGCCATGTCAGGCAGTTCCTACACAGTGTCCTTCAAAAACCATGAGGAAATCAGAATGATGGCTAAAATATTAGACCTACATATAGGTATAGGCCTAGTTCCTGTAATTACTGACAGTATCTTCAACATCAACACAGCAGCACTGAGCCCTGCACAGATCCACTGTGGAGAGATTTCCATGAACATTTTGGCTAAAGTTTATTTTGGACCACATTTTTGGATAAAGTTTATTTTGGACCATTGGACCGTGATAGATTTTCCATGTGTCTAGGGATACAATTTACTTAGTAGATACAGGCCTTATTTTACTGCAGTATTCTAGGTTGGGAAAGAGGAGCGTGTGTTTTTTCTTTTATGTGTTTTTAAGGAAGATCTATTTGGTTGTTAATTTGTGTACAAGTAAGAATATAAAAGCTATTTAATTGGTTGCCAGTGTGTAGGTGAGCTAAGGAAGAGTTCTAATTGGTGGGTTGGGTGAACAGGTGAGCTAAGGAAGCCCCTCTGATTGGTGGGCTGGGGACAGGATCAGGTATATATATGGTGGTCATAAGAGATGCAGCAGGGTCAGCTCCAGTCCACACTGACTGAGTACTGAGGCATCATGCAGAGGAAGAGTAGCTTCACTGGGCTCCTCATCACTGCTCTGTGTGCAGTGGTCTCCTGCCATCTGACCAAACAGTTCCACTATGTGGATGAAGGAGGAAAGACCTGGGAAAAGGCTCAGCAGTACTGCAGAGAGAAGTACATTGACCTGGCCTTCATCAGCAACCAAGAGGAAGCAGATGAGGTCAATCGCATATCCGGAAAGGATGATGTTTGGATTGGTCTGTACAGAGATCCCTCTCCCCTATCCGGAAAGGATGATGTTTGGATTGGTATGTACAGAGATCCCTCTCCCCCAACAGAGTGGAAGTGGTCTGGAGGGTGGAACTCAACATTCAGGTTTTGGGGGGAAGACCAGCCAAACAATCTCAATGGCAACCAGGAATGTGTCAGTTTGTGGAAGCGTGAGATGAATGATGATCAATGCACTGTACAATATCCCTTCGTGTGCTTTGATCTGAACGTGGTCCTGGTGCAGGAGAACAAGACATGGGAGGAGGCTCTGGAGCACTGCAGGGAGAACTACACTGACCTCACCAGCCTGCTGTCTGAGAATGAGCAGCTCCAGGTCCAGAGAATGATGAATTCAAACGGGGCCCAGACGGACCACGTGTGGACGGGACTGATCTTCTTGGCCAAAGAGTGGCTGTGGGTGAACGGGGATCAACTGGAGTATCAGGCCTGGACCGAGGGGAGGCTGCCCCACTGCCCCGCGCAACACCTCCGCTGTGGGACCCTGGCCAGAGAGGGAGAGCTTTGGGGAACCAGGGACTGTGAGGAGAGGAGGAACTTCCTCTGCTCCACATGAGGGACCCCTACGCCTCGATCACACTGACTGTGTCATTGCGTTTTCCTACACCAGAAGTACATTCATTTCCAATGGAACGCTGCGTTTGCTTTGCAGCATTGCGTTGCAGAGGCAGTTGCAGTGCGTTCTTTGTGGTGCTTTCATTGGATTTATCGAATGTATGCATCAAATTGCATGTGTAGAAGGCTTGACAGAAATGGTAGCATAATTTTTGTTGCACACATATCCAGATGATGCTGCGTACCATTTTAGGCAAAGACGCTATAGGTGTGATGGAGGCATTAGGGGAGACAGACAGGCCTATATAATACCTATGGTAATAGAGACCCACAGTGGAAGTGTCATAATACCCATAAAACCTAGCGGTAAAACAGTTAAAAAGGTTCCATAGGGGATTTTAGAAACACTTAAAATAGGAGCTATTTTTTGTGTAGGCTTTACCCTGGTGTGACGTTTTGATAACCATGTAAATCTCTCTCGGACAAGGTGACTTTTATCAATATATTTGGCTCTATTTACTCTCAGATTCAAAACCGCTAATTAGCATCAACATAGACATCACGCAAGACTACAAATCCCTGCAAGGTCCTGCCTGTCATCTCTAGCTGACACCTTTGCTAACAGGTATTGTGTCAATTTAAAACTTGCACAAGACAGTTCACCGTTGAATTTAAAGAGATTTAGCCAATTTATGAATTACTACATTTAGCTAACATTAGATAGTTAATCCAGAGATTCTTACCTTTGCCTCAATTCGGCAGTCTCGTCTAGATCATCATGGCATTTGTAGTTCTTTATGATAGCCACATTAGCAGCTAATTAGCGTTTCATTGTTGGGGGGGGGGTAAATACAGGCCAATATATTGAAAAAGTCACCTTGTACTAGAGAGATTGACACGGCTATCAAAACTTCACACCAGGGTAAGCCTACACGAAACACAGCCCTTATTTGAAGGGTTTCTAAAATCCCCTGTGGGAAAAATTAATGGTGGAAAAACTATTGGAGCCATTTCCCTGTTTGACCGCTAGGTTTTATGGGTATTTTGACTCATACTGTGGTACTCTATACCTGAAGTGAAAACCTATGTAAGCACAATATTTACTACTAGCAATAATTTGTATTTAAACTTTATTTAACCAGGAAGTCCCACTGAGTCAAGTTTTGTTCTCTGTTTGTTTTCCATGGTGGACTATCTATATTTTTGTAAATGTGGAATAGCTAGCTGGTACATCCACTCTGTTATACTGTAATAAACAATGTCGGCTGACAGCCGTGGTACATCCAACTGTTATACTGGGAACAGCTAGCTGGTACATCCAACTGTTATACTGGGAACAGCTAGCTGGTACATCCAACTGTTATACTGGGAGTAGCTAGCTAGTACATCCAACTGTTATATACTGTCATAAACAATGTTGGAAAATGTCCTCTGTCTGTCCTTTTTCCCATTTTATTCGATATACCGGTTGTTCAGTCTAACAAATGCAATGTTTTAAAGGCATAGCAATTAACAAGAGAGATCAGTCCAAGTAACAGCAGTTTCAACATGTGGATAGAATTGGGAGAGAAAGGTATGAGAGGCAAGAAACGTGCCGTATCTGTGGATCTGGATACAACATCTGGAACAGGTGCAGCAGCAGTGTAGCCTGGTGAGCCAGCCGGATCTCACCAGCTTACATGAATGGTTCAGCCGGACCTCACCAGCTTACATGAATGGTTCAGCCGGATCTCACCAGCTTACATGAATGGTTCAGCCGGACCTCACCAGCTTACATGAATGGTTCAGCCGGACCTCACCAGCTTACATGAATGGTTCAGCCTGATCTCACCAGCTTACATGAATGGTTCAGCCGGATCTCACCAGCTTACATGAATGGTTCAGCCGGACCTCACCAGCTTACATGAATGGTTCAGCCGGACCTCACCAGCTTACATGAATGGTTCAGCCGGACCTCACCAGCTTACATGAATGGTTCAGCCGGATCTCACCAGCTTACATGAATGGTTCAGCCGGACCTCACCAGCTTACATGAATGGTTCAGCCGGACCTCACCAGCTTACATGAATGGTTCAGCCTGATCTCACCAGCTTACATGAATGGTTCAGCCGGATCTCACCAGCTTACATGAATGGTTCAGCCGGACCTCACCAGCTTACATGAATGGTTCAGCCGGACCTCACCAGCTTACATGAATGGTTCAGCCGGATCTCACCAGCTTACATGAATGGTTCAGCCGGATCTCACCAGCTTACATGAATGGTTCAGCCTGATCTCACCAGCTTACATGAATGGTTCAGCCTGATCTCACCAGCTTACATGAATGGTTCAGCCGGATCTCACCAGCTTACATGAATGGTTCAGCCGGACCTCACCAGCTTACATGAATGGTTCAGCCGGACCTCACCAGCTTACATGAATGGTTCAGCCGGATCTCACCAGCTTACATGAATGGTTCAGCCGGACCTCACCAGCTTACATGAATGGTTCAGCCGGACCTCACCAGCTTACATGAATGGTTCAGCCTGATCTCACCAGCTTACATGAATGGTTCAGCCGGATCTCACCAGCTTACATGAATGGTTCAGCCGGACCTCACCAGCTTACATGAATGGTTCAGCCGGACCTCACCAGCTTACATGAATGGTTCAGCCGGATCTCACCAGCTTACATGAATGGTTCAGCCGGATCTCACCAGCTTACATGAATGGTTCAGCCTGATCTCACCAGCTTACATGAATGGTTCAGCCTGATCTCACCAGCTTACATGAATGGTTCAGCCGGATCTCACCAGCTTACATGAATGGTTCAGCCGGATCTCACCAGCTTACATGAATGGTTCAGCCGGATCTCACCAGCTTACATGAATGGTTCAGCCGGACCTCACCAGCTTACATGAATGGTTCAGTCGGACCTCACCAGCTTACATGAATGGTTCAGCCGGATCTCACCAGCTTACATGAATGGTTCAGCCGGATCTCACCAGCTTACATGAATGGTTCAGCCTGATCTCACCAGCTTACATGAATGGTTCAGCCGGATCTCACCAGCTTACATGAATGGTTCAGCCGGACCTCACCAGCTTACATGAATGGTTCAGCCGGATCTCACCAGCTTACATGAATGGTTCAGCCGGATCTCACCAGCTTACATGAATGGTTCAGCCAGATCTCACCAGCTTACATGAATGGTTCAGCCGGATCTCACCAGCTTACATGAATGGTTCAGCCTGATCTCACCAGCTTACATGAATGGTTCAGCCGGATCTCACCAGCTTACATGAATGGTTCAGCCTGATCTCACCAGCTTACATGAATGGTTCAGCCGGATCTCACCAGCTTACATGAATGGTTCAGCCGGACCTCACCAGCTTACATGAATGGTTCAGCCGGATCTCACCAGCTTACATGAATGGTTCAGCCGGATCTCACCAGCTTACATGAATGGTTCAGCCAGATCTCACCAGCTTACATGAATGGTTCAGCCGGATCTCACCAGCTTACATGAATGGTTCAGCCTGATCTCACCAGCTTACATGAATGGTTCAGCCGGATCTCACCAGCTTACATGAATGGTTCAGCCTGATCTCACCAGCTTACATGAATGGTTCAGCCTGATCTCACCAGCTTACATGAATGGTTCAGCCTGATCTCACCAGCTTACATGAATGGCTCAGCCGGATCTCACCAGCTTACATGAATGGTTCAGCCGGATCTCACCAGCTTACATGAATGGTTCAGCCGGATCTCACCAGCTTACATGAATGGTTCAGCCTGATCTCACCAGCTTACATGAATGGTTCAGCCTGATCTCACCAGCTTACATGAATGGTTCAGCCGGATCTCACCAGCTTACATGAATGGTTCAGCCGGACCTCACCAGCTTACATGAATGGTTCAGCCTGATCTCACCAGCTTACATGAATGGTTCAGCCTGATCTCACCAGCTTACATGAATGGTTCAGCCGGATCTCACCAGCTTACATGAATGGTTCAGCCGGACCTCACCAGCTTACATGGTTCAGCCGGATTTTAGAATGACAGTAGCAGAGCAGTGGACTGTAGAATGAGTCATCAGAGAGGTGCTCTATAGTGCCGACTGCTGGCAGAAGAGAGCACAGCACCTTGATCAATGGTATGGTCCTCCTGTCCAGTAACAACCTCTCAGCACTTCATGTGATCTGAAATCGTTTTAAAAAGTAGCCCTACTCAATATGGTGGTAGCTCCACTTTGTACTCTGGTAAGCTTGGTGGCATGTCCACCATATTTCTTTAAAAAACCTACCCATTCCTTTTAGAAGTGTCTAGGCCCGGGCGAAAAAAAGCAATGGAGGGTTTGTACAGAGCCAATCATGCATCCATCCAACTGTCAATGGTCTATTCATTTGCTCTCAGAATAATAAACAACATCCTGCCTATAATAGATAGGAGGAGAGCAGGAACAGGTCTAGATACAGCAAAAGTCAACCCATGTTACACATTCACATGAATGGATCAGCAGTATCACAAGTCTAACACTCTATAGACTTGATTGGTCAGCGTATATGGACTTCATTGGTCAGCATATTTGAATCCCGGCACCCAGGACTAAATCTCAGCTGGCTGTCACGAGTAACTATCAGTATACGGACTTCATTGCTCAAAAGGCTAACTTGCTTTCTTCTCTAAATATTTGCAGAGTGACAGAAAGTCAGAGTCAAATAAAAGCTTTTTAAAGAAGTGAATCACGTTTGTTGAGTCATTGAGGCTAATAGGTTACAAGACATAATGTCCCCAAATTATTCAGCTATTGATTGTGTAACATCTATTCAAACCACAGGTTCAAGGCCCATGCAGGGTAGTATTGCAGGGTAGTATTGTGCAAAGTTGCCGAATGAGAGCCATATATCTTACCATAATTACCAGTAACTTCAGATGTTAATGGAAGTTCTAAGTTACACAATAAAGTACACAGTATCTTTCACACAGAGGTAGTTTTCCACACACATTACCAACAGAATATCTCTGAGAAACTGTTGTCCACAGACATTATTAACAGAATATCTCTGAGAAACTGTTGTCCACAGACATTATTAACAGAATATCTCTGAGAAACTGTTGTCCACAGACATTATTAACAGAATATCTCTGAGAAACTGTTGTCCACAGACATTATTAACAGAATATCTCTGAGAAACTGTTGTCCCCAGACATTATTAACAGAATATCTCTGAGAAACAGTTGTCCATTCACATCACACACGGGGATAACTCCACCTGTCATCATAAACCGAAAAAACAGGTAATTCAAATTCATGAAATCCAAAATACCAACAATTGTTGCAGAAATGGCAGAAATTGTTGCAAAAATTGCTGCAAAAATGATGAAATGTCACGCCTGAAGTGTATTTGCTGTATTCTATATCCAGAAAATAGGACATATTAACACCCAGCGAAGGTTTTCAATTAAGATAATCAAATGTCCACCTAAAATAAGTTGTTGACAGGAAAGAAAACATGTATGGATCCCTTTCATATGAATTGGTCAGGGGTTGTCAAGGCGTGCTGTAGGTGTAGTGGCGGAATCAAACGCAGGACGCAGACGGATAATCCAACAGACTTGTATTAGGCCGAAACACGGCAAACGGACAACACTTGCCCGAAGGCGTAATACGCACGAAGGCGAAAAGAAACAAAACAGCGCACAAACAGGTGCGTAAACTCCAGCGCAGTGGAGAGAAGCTCAACCGAGCGAAAACACGTCTGACACAATCAATAATACACAACACCTGACAAACACAACGGGAACTAAATAGGACACTAATGACACTAAATGAAAACAGGTGTGACAACACTCAGACAAAAGCAAACGAACATGAAACATACAACAGTGGCAGCTAGTATTCCGGAGACAACGAACGCCGAAGCCTGCCCGAACAAGGGAGAGAGGCAGCCTCGGCCGAAACCGTGACAGTACCCCCCCCTTGACGCGCGGCTCCAGACGTGCGCTGACTCCGGCCTCGGGGACGACCCGGAGGACGCGGAGCTGGGCGCGTCGGGTGCCCACGATGGAATTCCGTCAGGAGAGACGGGTCCAAAATGTCTCTCCTCGGCACCCAACACCGCTCCTCCGGACCGTACCCCTCCCACTAGATACTGGAGACCCCCCATCTGACGTCTCGAATCCAAGATGGACCTCACGGAGTACGCCGGTGCCCCCTCGATGTCCAATGGGGGCGGAGGAGTCTCCAAGATCTCACTGTCTTGGAGTGGGCCAGCTACCACCGGCCTGAGAAGGGACACATGGAACGAGGGGTTAATACTTTTATATTCAACAGGTAGCTGTAATTTATAACACACCTCGTTCAACCTTCCCAGGACTTTAAATGGCCCTACAAACCGCCGACCCAGTTTCCGACAGGGCAGGCGGAGGGGCAGGTTCCTGGTAGAGAGCCAGACTCGATCACCAGGTGCGTACACCGGTCCCTCACTGCGGTGGAGATCAGCGCTCGCCTTATGACGTCGGAGGGCCCGCTGCAGGTGGACGTGTGCAGCGTTCCATGTCTCCTCCGAGCGCCTCGCCCACTCATCCACCGCAGGAGCCTCGATCTGGCTCTGCTGCCAGGGTGCCAGAACCGGCTGGTAACCCAACACACATTGGAAAGGGGTTAGGTTAGTGGAGGAATAGCGTAGGGAATTCTGGGCCATTTCGGCCCAGGGAACGTACCTTGCCCACTCCTCCGGCCGGTCCTGGCAGTATGTTCTAAGAAACCTGCCCACATCCTGGTTTACACGTTCCACCTGCCCATTACTCTCCGGGTGGTAACCCGAGGTGAGGCTCACCGAGACCCCCAACCGCTCCATAAAGGCCCTCCAGACTCTGGAGGTAAATTGGGGACCCCGATCAGACACAATATCCTCGGGTACCCCGTAGTGCCGGAACACATGGGTGAATAGGGCTTCGGCAGTTTGCAGGGCGGTAGGAAGGCCCGGCATGGGGAGCAAACGACAGGCCTTAGAAAACCGGTCCACAACGACCAGTATAGTGGTATTCCCCTGTGAAGGAGGAAGGTCAGTAAGGAAATCCACAGAGAGGTGGGACCATGGTCGTTGTGGCACGGGCAGGGGTAGTAACTTACCCCTAGGCAGATGTCTAGGCGCCTTACACTGGGCGCACACCGAGCAGGAGGAAACATAAACCCTCACATCCCTTGCCAACGTGGGCCACCAGTACTTGGCACTAAGACAGTGCACTGTCCGGCCGATACCCGGATGTCCAGAGGAGGGTGACGTGTGAGCCCAATAGATCAATCGATCCCGAACCTCGAGCGGAACGTACTTCCGACCCTCCGGGCACTGTGGTGGACTAGGGTCGGTGCGTAACGCCCGCTCGAGTTCAGCATCGACCTCCCACACTACCGGTGCCACCAGACACGACTCCGGCAGTATGGGAGTGGGCTCCACGGACCTCTCCTCCGTGTCATACCGCCGAGACAGCGCATCTGCCTTACCATTCTGTGACCCAGGGATGTACGTGATCTTAAAAGTAAACCTGGTCAAGAACATATTCCATCTTGCCTGGCGAGGGTTCAGCCTCCTCGCTGCCCGGATGTACTCCAGGTTACGGTGGTCCGTCAAAATGAGGAAAGGGTGTTGAGCCCCCTCAAGCCAGTGCCTCCACACCTTTAGGGCCTGTACCACGGCTAACAGCTCCCTGTCCCCTACGTCATAGTTCCGCTCCGCCGGACTGAGCTTCTTAGAATAAAAGGCACAGGGGCGGAGTTTAGGTGGCGCGCCAGACCGTTGTGAAAGCACGGCTCCTAGACCGGCCTCTGACGCGTCCACCTCTACCTGGAACGGCAAAGAGGGATCCGGATGCGCCAGCACCGGAGCCGAGGTAAACAGGTCCTTCAGCCTCCCAAACGCCCTGTCCGCCTCGGCCGACCACTGCAGACGCACCGGACCCCCCTTCAAAAGAGACGTGATGGGAGCTGCCACCTGTCCAAAACCCCGGATAAACCTCCGGTAGTAATTCGCAAACCCCAAAAACTGCTGCACCTCCTTCACAGTGGTTGGTGTTTGCCAATTACGCACGGCCGACACCCGGTCTACCTCCATCTTCACCCCTGACGCAGCCAACTGATACCCCAAAAAGGAGACCAACTCCTGGAAAAACAGACACTTCTCTGCCTTCACATACAGGTCGTGCTCCACCAGCCTCCGCAACACTCTACGCACCAGGGCCACATGCTCGACACGGGTAGGCGAGTACACGAGAATGTCATCAATGTACATAACCACCCCCTGCCCCTGCATGTCCCTGAAGATCTCATCCACGAATGATTGGAAAACTGACGGAGCGTTCATCAACCCGTATGGCATGACCAGATACTCGTAATGGCCCGAGGTGGTACTAAAGGCTGTCTTCCATTCATCGCCCTCCCTGATGCGCACCAAGTTGTACGCGCTCCTGAGATCTAATTTAGTGAAGAAACGCGCCCCATGCAACGACTCAGTCATGGTCGCAATCAGCGGGAGTGGATAACTGTACTTCACCGTAATCTGATTGAGACCACGGTAATCGATGCACGGGCGCAAACCACCATCCTTTTTCTTCACAAAAAAGAAACTCGAGGACGCAGGGGAAGTGGAAGGCCGTATGTATCCTTGTCTCAGAGATTCTTCTATGTAAGTCTCCATAGCTTTCTTCTCCTCTTGAGACAGAGGATACACATGGCTCCGTGGGAGCGCAGCTCCTGCCTGGAGGTCTATCGCACAATCTCCCTGCCTATGGGGCGGCAACTGCGTCGCCCTCGCCTTACTAAACGCAATAGCCAAATCCCCATACTCAGGGGGAACGTGCAATGCGGGCACCTGGTTTGGACTCTCCACCGAGGTAGCCCCTACGGAAACGCCCAAACATCTACCCACACACTGAGCAGACCACTCCATCAGAGCCCTCTCCTGCCACGAAATGGATGGGTTATGGGTACTCAACCAGGGCATGCCCAGCACCACCGGATACGCAGGAGAGTCAATCAGAAATAGCTGAATCATCTCCTGATGACCCCCCTGCGCACACATCCTAAGTGGCGCCGTGACCTCCCTGATCAAGCCCGTACCCAACGGACGGCTATCTAGGGCATGAACGGGGAAAGGAACATCAACAGGAAGAAGGGGAATCCCTAACGCTAAACAAAACTTTTTATCAATACAATTCCCAGCCGCGCCTGAATCTACCAGCGCCTTATGCTGGGAATGAGGTGCTACCTGTGGAAAACGCACAGGCATACAAAAATGTGCAACAGAGAGCTCTGGGTGAGTGGGGCGCCTACTCACCTGGAGGGAATCCCCAGTGCGGGACCTGTCGTCCTCTCCCCTAGGAGGCCATCCCCAGCACCTAGCCGCGGTGTGTCCTCCCCGACCACAGTTGGTGCAAGGGATGGACCCCCTAGTAAGCCGACCCCTCCTCTCTCTAGCGCCAGCGCCCCCGAGCTCCATGGGGCACGGCTCGGAAGCGCTGGAGGGTGAAATGGACGGACCCCCCTCGGAACGCCCGCGGGTAGCTAGCAGGTTATCCAGCCTGATGGACATGTCGACCAACTGGTCGAACGTGAGGCTGGTGTCCCTACAGGCCAGCTCCCGACGGACGTCCTCTCGTAGACTACACCTGTAGTGATCGACGAGGGCCCGATCATTCCACCCTGCATCTGCCGCTAGAGTACGGAATTCGAGGGCGAACTCCTGAGCACTCCTCCTCCCCTGCCGGAGGAAGACCAGACGCTCCCCTGCCGCTTTCCCCTCCGGGGGATGGTCAAACACCGCCTTGAAGCGGCGGGAGAACTCGTTGTACGTTATGGTGTCTGCGTCGATCCTCCTCCACTCCGCGTTGGCCCATTCCAACGCCTTCCCGGACAGGCAGGAGATCAGGGCGGACACGCTCTCATGTCCCGAGGGCGCCGGCTGCACGGTGGCCAGGTACAGCTCCACCTGGAGAAGGAAACCCTGGCACCCGGCCGCGGTCCCATCGTAAGCCCTCGGGAGCGAGAGTCGGACTCCTCGGGGTTCTGGTGCGGGAATAGGCTGACTGGCCGATGGTGCTGGCACGGAGGGTGGCGGTGGAGGCGTCCCCCAGCCTCGGATGGTGGTGATCACCTCCTGCAGTGCGGTCCCCATCTGCAGGATCTGGTCCCCTTGCTCCCGGACCCTGTCCTCCAGAGTCGCCTGGGCTGCTGCGGCTCCTGCTGATTCCATTGTGGGTGTATTATTCTGTCAAGGCGTGCTGTAGGTGCAGTGGCGGAATCAAACGCAGGACGCAGACGGATAATCCAACAGACTTGTATTAGGCCGAAACACGGCAAACGGACAACACTTGCCCGAAGGCGTAATACGCACGAAGGCGAAAAGAAACAAAACAGCGCACAAACAGGTGCGTAAACTCCAGCGCAGTGGAGAGAAGCTCAACCGAGCGAAAACACGTCTGACACAATCAATAATACACAACACCTGACAAACACAACAGGAACTAAATAGGACACTAATGACACTAAATGAAAACAGGTGTGACAACACTCAGGCAAAAGCAAACGAACATGAAACATACAACAGTGGCAGCTAGTATTCCGGAGACAACGAACGCCGAAGCCTGCCCGAACAAGGGAGAGAGGCAGCCTCGGCCGAAACCGTGACAGGGGTGTTGCATTGCAGCATGCGTGCCAAGACAGTAGATCAAGCGTTTCATTTAATGACCCTAAACAAACTGTTTACCTGTCAACAAAACTATTTAAATGGTCTTGTTTTCTACCTCATGGTGCATATTATTTTAGTTCAATGTAATTTCCACTGATCCTCTCCATGAGAATCAACCCCTTCCCACATTTCCAGCATCTCTTTACTCCAGTACACTGATGTTGCACAACAATCCATTTCCTCTGATATTTTGATACAATGTTTCCTCATGCACCAACAAAACAACATCTCACAAACACAAATTCAACATGTTATGTATACATTTTGCAACAACAAACACAAGAAAAGGCCCTGGGATAAAGAAAAGGTCCAGGGATAAAGAAAAGGTCCTGGGAGAAAGAAAAGGCCCAGTTTGAAAGATAAACCTCCCAAGGCAAGGGAGTCAGCCTCAGCCAGCTGCTGTGGAAGAAGAAGAGGTCCTGTAGTGGGGCCATGAAGGGGTATTTCAGTATATGTAGGCTAGTGGTGCGCGGGTCAGCTGTTTGTTCACCCGCTCCCACCCGCAACCGCCCGACTATATGTGATAAAGTGAAAATCTGATGCCCGCACCCGACCCTAACCCACTAATATACAAAATGTGCTACAAGCTACAATCAGAGACTACGGAATACGTTTTTGACAGGGGGTGCAGGATATTTTTTTGTTGTTGCCTGATTTAGATATGTTTCTGCTTATAATTTCCGACATTTTGGTAGGCTATGTGTTAGTCAACTTGTCTATAATTAGATACATGTAGCTTCTCTTTTGTCATTACATGTTGCCCTTGGAGACTAAATAAACCCTTGATCAACAGAATTATGTAATAGATGGATAGAATGAAGAGCTTCCATCTTGTTGACATCTGTAAAGTTTTCTTCTCTCATCTTTCACGGAGGAAAGACGTTTAGGGACCGGGGAGAAAGTACAATTACACAAAAAAAAGGGAACGTTTTTTTGTGCAAAAGAAAATGTCCAAATGTCCATAATTAACATAATTGTGTGAATAAAGTAATTGTGTCCATAATTAACATAATTGTGTGAATAAAGTAATTGTGTGTGTCTGTGTTTTAAAATATCACAAAACATTTTATGAGGACATTAAAAATATTCTAGCTGTAAAGTAGTCTAGTTTTGAGTGCTGAAATTCTGCACGTGTCAGACGGTTTCTAAATGTGGTCAGGATCATGATGATCTGACATGACCCGTCTGTCCTCTCGAGCCATCAGCCATCTTGTCTTCAGCAGCCATCTTGTCTTCAGGATATTTAAGGAGAACTTGACACCCCAAACCCTGACGGTCCAGTCTGGGCTTCGGCAGGCTACAACATCACCAACTGTCTCAGCTGTAGACTACCAGTGGTGTGGCGGAGGAAGAACACATATATAGATACACAATATAGATGAAGACCTGAATGCATTAAAGAGTCCCTTACTGCTACTGAAACACTAATACACTCAACCTGATTGTACAGTAACCAAGTAATATGCCTCAACAATAATTTAAAAAAAACTCCTCTGCTTGCTCAGCAGGTCCCATGTTCCATGTTTCTCAGTGGCACCCCTAGTGGTGGTTGGGGAGTAGTGCAGACAGAGTGTAGCTGTTGGCAGAAAGGGTAAACACTGGTAGGACTTAATGCCTGCAGGGCTAGTCTTTCACCACGCCTCAACACAATGCAAATATGTAGTATCTGAGGAATTATGACTTTGCTAACGTTTTCAAATGGAACCTGATAGGAGGTTTATTTAGCCCAGGGAGTAGTTTTAGGGGGACACCCCCATAGAACAGAGGAAGTCTGTTGTGTGGAGACAGGTGATTGGTCTGTATGGGAAACCACCCACAGCAGGATAAAGATTATAAATACTAGGTTGGGACAAAGGACGACAGAATAATCAGATTTGAGATGGGGCGATTATTCTCCGGGTATCTGCAGGTATCTGTAAATCGACGCTGTAACCCTTTATGTTATGAATAAAACCTTTATGATGAAAATACAGCGTCAGCGGGTTCTCCTTGGTCTCACAGCATAATTAGCAACGTTTGCTCGACACAACAAGATCACACTAACCTGCCCAGATCACTATGGAGACAACACACCAAATAAAAGTTCCAATTGCTGCAAAATAATTGAAATTAGTCCAGCGAGGCTATATGAGATATTTGCTGTGGTAAATGTATAGTTCTCAAATGGTTAAAAAAAAAAAAAAAAATGCATGTTAAGTAGTCCCTAAGGTCGATGTCCGCTCCCTTGTGGAAATCTAATTAGCATAATAAACAAAATCCCCATAAAAATCTGTTCGTTTAAACTAGAGATATCTGTTTTTTTTTTGCATTGGATGTGTCTCAATCCACCGCATCAGCCTATGTAACGCCTCCACATTTGTAGTGAAAGGAGACAGAACTAGAGCGGTGTTTGTCAGACCATGAGACATTCCAATAATCTCAAAGAAATGATCTGTCGCGTCCGAACGGTTTGGCTTATTACCCCTCTATGGAAAGATGAGACTCTCACGAACACGATGGCTTTCTCCGTTTTTCTCTACGACCCCCACGAGCGAATTGGAACTCGTCTGAAGTCGGTACAGCCGGTCTGCCAACTTGTGTCTGTAGCGTCCGAACAGTTTGGGCTACACACTAATATGACCCCTCTGTGTAAAGGTGAGACTCTCACAAACAACAGGCCTCACAAGACTCGTCTGAAGGTCCCCCGGTACCAGCTGAAAAAAATAATGGAAGTATACAGTGCATTCGGAAAGTATTCAGACTCCTTGACTTTTTCCACATTTTGTTACGTTACAGCCTTATTCTAAAATTGATAAAATATTTTTTTTTCTCGGCAATCTACACACAATACCCCATAATGAAAAAGTTAAAACAGGTTTAAAAACAGAAATACCTTATTTACATAAGTATTCAGACCCTTTTCTATGAGACTCGACATTGAGCCTCAGGTGCATCATGTTTCCATTGATCATCCTTGAGATGTTTCTACAACTTGATTGGAGTCCACCTGTGGTAAATTCTATTGATTGGACATGATTTGGAAAGGCACACACCTGTCTAAGGTCCCACAGTTGACAGTACATGTCAGAGCAAAAACCAAGCCATGAGGTCGAAGGAATTGTCTGTAGTTCTCCGAAACAGGATTGTGTCGATGCACAGATCTGGGGAAGGGTACCAAAACATTTCTGCAGCATTGAAGGTCCCCAAGAACACAGTGGCCTCCATCATTTTTAAGTGGAAGTAGTTTGGAACCACCAAGACTCTTCCTAGAGCTGGCCGCCCAGCCAAACTGAGCAATCGGGGGAGAAGGGCCTTGGTCAGGGAGATGACCAAGAACCTGATAGTCACTCTGACAGAGCTCCAGAGTTCTTCTGTGGAGATGGGAGAAACTTCCAGAAGGACAGCCATCTCTGCAGCACTCCACCAATCAGGCCTTAATGGTAGAGTGGCCAGAAGGAAGCCACTCCTCAGTAAAAGGCACATGACAACCCACGTGGAGTTTGCCAAAAGGCACATAAAGGACTTTCAGACCATGGGAAACAAGATTCTCTGGTCTGATGAAACCAAGATCGAACGCTTTGGCCTGAATGCCAAACGTCACGTCTGGAGGAAACCTGGCACCATCCCTATGGTGAAGCATGATCGTGGCAGCATCATGCTGTGGGGATGTTTTTCAGCGGCAGGGACTGGGAGACTACTCAGGATCGAGGGAAAGATGAACGGAGCAAAGTACAGAGAGATCCTTCATGATAACCTGCTCCAGAGCAATCAGGACCTCAGACTGGGGTGAAGGTTCATCTTCCAACAGGACAATGACCTTCAGCACACAGCCAAGACAAAGCAAGAGTAGCTTCGGGACAAATCTCTGAATGTCCTTGAGTGGCCCAGCCAGAGCCCGGACTTGAACCCGATCTAACGTCTCTGGAGAGACCTGAAAATAGCTGTGCAGCGATGCTCCCCATCCAACCTGACAAAGCTTGAGAGGATCTGCAGCGAATAATGGGAGAAACTCCCCAAATACAGGTGTGCCAAGCTTGTAGCGTCATACCTAAGAAGACTCTAGGCTGTTAAAGGTACGTCAACAAAGTACTGAGTAAAGGGTCTGAATACTTATGTGATATTTCAGATCTTAATTTTTTTATAAATGTGCTAAATTAAAAAAAAAACAGTTTTTGCTTTGCCATTATGGGTTATTGTGTGTAGATTGATGAGGGGGGATAAAACAATTTCATCCATTTTAGAATAAGGCTGTAACGTAACAAAATGTGGAAAAAGTCAAGGAGTCTGAATACTTTCCGAATGCACTGTAAATGAAGACTGTTCAATGCCAGAAATATGGTGTTAAATACGTCAAAAATATATATCAAATGTTGTCTGATCTTTCTTATATCTCTCAGATATAGGATAAACACTTCATGTCGATTTTTGGGAGGTACTATCTGTTGTTCCATGCGTTTGTATGGGCTAAAGGCGGTAAGGCCAAATATAAATCTCCATCAAATAATTTTTTTATATATATTTTTTTTATACTTCAAGGGGTCTTAAAATTCAAAATCAAATTGCAAAATTATCCTTGGTATGACCTTCATTGAACAAACCCCCCCCCCCCCCCCTGATTAATGTTGTCAGGCCTATTTGCCCATTGATTCTTGGGTAATATAACGTACAAATTACTCATGAGCTCCCCTGTGAAGTCTTAGTCCACATATGATGTCCATGGAGGCACGGTTGATAGTTCTGCTGAGTGTTATTGTAGGTTTAGGCCTATGAGGCCCCAGTAAAAGCAGCATTGTTATGACACAGCTATGGCCAGGGAACTAACTTTTACTTTCAGATGTGTTCCCTTGTCACTACAGTGGTTTCACATGTGTTATCCTGTCAATACACTGGACATGTCCCTCTGTGGTCCTCTGTTTGTTCAGAGGTGGCAGGCAAATCACGCTTTAGGCAAAAAACCTACATTTCCATATTTCCTGTCAACACATGGAAAGCACTTTGTTTCTTTCTACCGCTCTCTTCCCAAGGTCACATTATGCAAATGACCCTTGACCCAGATGTTATAGGGTTACGAAAGCCCAAACCTCATTGAAAGGCTTCAAAGAACATTAGGAAATCAAAACTATTACACGTATGTAGTTCCTGTAATTACTGACAGTATCTTCATCTTCAACACAGCAGCACTGAGCCCTGCACAGATCCACTGTGGAGAGATTTCCATGAACATTTTGGATAAAGTTAGTTTTGGACCGTTGGACCATGAGATTTTCCTTGTGTCTTTAGCATAAGGTTGCAAAATTCCGGTTACTTTCATAACATTCCCAGGTTTTCCAGAAATCCTGGTTGAAGAATTCCAGATTTCCTGCTTATTCTCATCTGATTGCGGGAATCTTTCAACCCGGATTTCTGGAAAACCTGAGAAATGTGGGGAAAGTTACCAACATGTTGCAACCTTAAGGGTAGGATTTAGTTAGTAGACCCAGTACAGGGTTTATCTGACTGCAGTGTTCCAGGTTGCACCGCTTAAATGTTTGTAAGGATTCTCTATTTGGTTGTTCATTTGTGTACAGGTAAGAACAGAAGAGCTGTCTAATAACCAGCCAGGGTATACAGGGGAGCAGAGTAGACCTCTATGGGCTGGCTATACAGGTGAGCTAAGGAAGCCTCTCTGATTGGTGGGCTGGCTATACAGGTGAGCTAAGGAAGCCTCTCTGATTGGTGGGTTGGGTGTAGAGGTGAGCTAAGGAAGCCTCTCTGATTGGTGGGCTGGGTGTACAGGTGAACTAAGGAAACCTCTCTGATTGGTGGGCTGGGTATACAGGTAAGCTAAAGAAGCCTCTCTGATTGGTGGGCTGGCTCTACAGGTGAGCTAAGGAAGCCTCTCTGATTGGTGGGCTGGGGACAGGATCAGGTATATATATGGTGGTCATAAGAGATGCAGCAGGGTCAGCTCCAGTCCACACTGACTGAGTACTGGGACATCATGCAGAGGAAGAGTAGCTTCACTGGGCTCCTCATCACTGCTCTGTGTGCAGTGGTCTCCTGCCATCTGACCAAACAGTTCCACTATGTGGATGAAAGAGGAAAGACCTGGGAAAAGGCTCAGCAGTACTGCAGAGAGAAGTACATTGACCTGGCCTTCATCAGCAACCAAGAGGAAGCAGATGAGGTCAATCGCATATCCATAAAGGAGGATGTTTGGATTGGTATGTACAGAGATCCCTCTCCCCTATCCGGAAAGGATGATGTTTGGATTGGTATGTACAGAGATCCCTCTCCCCCAACAGAGTGGAAGTGGTCTGGAGGGTGGAACTCAACATTCAGGTTTTGGGGGGAAGACCAGCCAAACAATCGCAATGGCAACCAGGACTGTGTCAGTTTGAGGAAGCGTGAGATGAATGATGATCAATGCACTGACCAATATCCCTTCGTGTGCTTTGATCTGAACGTGGTCCTGGTGCAGGAGAACAAGACATGGGAGGAGGCTCTGGAGCACTGCAGGGAGAAATACACTGACCTCACCAGCCTGCTGTCTGAGAATGAGCAGCTCCAGGTCCAGAGAATGATGAATTCAAAGGGGGCCCAGACGGACCACGTGTGGACGGGACTGCGCTTCCTGGCCAGCGAGTGGCTGTGGGTGAACGGGGATCAACTGGAGTATCAGGCCTGGACCGAGGGGAGGCTGCCCCACTGCCCCGCGCAACACCTCCGCTGTGGGACCCTGGCCAGAGAGGGACTGCTTTGGGGAACCAGGGGCTGTGAGGAGAGGAGGAACTTCCTCTGCTCCACATGAGTGACCCCTAGCAGTGACAGGCATGTATACCTTTGGTAAAAACTGAAGTAAAAACGTATGCAAGATCAATATTTACTACTAGCAATCATTTGGGTATTTAAACTTTATTTAACCAGGAAGACCTCTTTCCCAAGTTGTGTTCTATAGGCATTCACACCGCATTTAAAACTAAATGGTCATCAAACCTGTAAGTGATTGGCACCTAAAACCCTCACAAACTTTTACAGATGTACAATTGAGAGCATCCTGTCGGGCTGAATACGTTTGTAGGGGCAACCGTTTTGATTACATTTATAATTTATTGTGCAAAGCTGTCATCAAGGGAGGCTATTTGAAGAATCTCAAATATAAAATATGTTTTGATTTGTTTAACACTTTTTGGGTTACTACATGATTCCATATTTGTTATTTCATAGTTTTGATGTCTTCACTATTATTCTACAATGTAGAAAATAGTAAAAAATAAAAATAAAAAAAACCATGAATGAGTAGGTGTTCTAAAACGTTTGACCGGTAGTGTATATTTAGCCAATTAAGTTTTTTTCATATAAGGCTGAAGTCATCATGTGTAAATTGCTGATCTAGACACTTGCATGTAATCGGAGCACAGACATGCACAAATAAGAAAACCAACGTCCTTGGCTGCTAAGATAGCCAGTCAACGTTAACTAGCTATGTAACGTTAGCCAACGTAAGACTGTAACGTTAGCTAACGTTTATGGCCAGTTCATGCACCACAATATATCGTACTTTCTTACAAAAAAACACAGCTAGTTAACATTTAGTTAACAGCATCACTGTTTCATACATGTAGAATACATTCCAGCTCTTACTATAATCCACATTTGTGCTGACTGATTAACACAGTGTCCAAGTTACTTTTCAGTGTGTTCCCAGAAAATCAGTAAAAAAAGTAGTCAGGGGGTTGTTGGGTTCTATTTTTCTCATAATTGGATCTGTATGTGATGAATAACTTAGAAGGAATGCATTAATGAGGAGCATAGGTTTGTACTATACTGATATAAGTTGTTTCACATAACAGGCTGTGATTCATGTAAGGAACGTTAGGGGTAGGATGAGATAAAACTTGTATTTCTTATAGATAAGACTTGTATTTCTCACAGATACGAACACTGCCTCTTTGTTGTCTGTGAACCGTCCTTGAACGTAGTACAGTGGAATGGTGTCTTTTGGGTGCTGACTCCACAGGTTGTTATGATAAACTTGTGCCTGGCAACAGTGTGCAACAAATGGAGCGCCGAGGAGTTGGGACCAACCCCTGCACCAACGGATTGGCTGAGTAAAGTCTAAACCACACTCAGTCCTTTACTCTGATTGGCCAACAGAAGAGGTGGGAACTCTCTGTCAGAGTATTTGAGAAAGAACCTGTAAACAATAGTTTAGTTCTCTGTCTGCCCTGCGTGGTTTTTCAGTGAGCCCGTATACGAACCTTCATACTTATCATACATACATTTTGCATATAATAAATTAAGCTTGGATTGAAGATCTCTTGATTCTTATTCCAATACCAGATTTGAATTACGCAATTTCTAACAGGGTGCAGGTGCGTCACACGGTGCCCCCAGGTAAAACAACACCAGAATCATTGAGGGGGTTAGATTAATCTGGCCCGGGTGCCGTGTCGGCATGTTTTGCACCGGCTGAAAATGTATCGCATTCTATTTGGAACTGGGCTGCCGTCTCCCGGAAGTGAGCCTGGTGCCCGCTCTGTCTGGTGGCGAAGTCGGCTCAAAACAAAAGTGACGTAATTAAGCACGTGTAGTAATGATCAGTGGTGTAAAGTACTTACGTAAAAATACTTTAAGTACTACTTAAGTCGTTTTTCGGGGGTATCTGTACTTTATTATTTATATTTTTGAGCACTTTTACTTCACTGCATTCCTAAAGAAAATAATGTACTTTTTACTCTATACATATTCCCTGACACCCAAAAGTACTCGTTACATTTTGAAAGCTTAGCAGGACAGGAAAATTTTCCAATTTACACACTTATCAAGAGAACATCCCTGGTCATCCCTATTGCTTCCTATCTGGCGGACTCACTAAACACAAATGCTTTGTTTGTAAATAATGTGTGCCCCTGACTATCTGTACATTTTAAAAATAACAAGAAAATTGTGTATTCTGGTTTGCTTAATATACGGAATTTGAAGTGATTTATACTTTTACTTTTGATACTTAAGTATATTTAAAACCAAATACTTTTAGACTTTTAATCAAGTAGTATTTTACTGGGTGACTTTCACATTTACTTGAGTCATTTTCTATTAAGCTATCTTTAATCAAGTATGACAATTGGGTACTTTTTCCACCACTGGTAATGTGTAGGATTCTGTGTTTTCATATGCAAAAGGTTTTTGATGAAAACGCTTTATCTACCTTCCCTCCCCGCTTTCGCCCGATGATGTGAGGGGCCATAGCCCGGTGTACCCCGGGCCAGATTAATCCAACCACCTCTCTGCTTGCTTAAACTGTGCACCATGCTGTGCGCAGTCAAAAGGAAATGACATGATTGCTAACGTGATTAAATGTGTCTGTTTTCAACAAATCAACTGCTTTAGGCTATTGTTTTTTATCCAAGCAAGATAAATAAAAAAACAAAATCGTTTTTTGAACGAACGCTTCAAGATTGTCCATTTAAATGGTCTGTCGAAATCAGTGTTTTAAGAACAGGGTTCGTAATGTAATGGCTACAGGTACCGCCTGTGTATCTGAAGATTGTGGGGTCGCTTCCCACAGGAGACATTTTGACAATTATTTCATTTATAGTTTTGACAGCCCCCTACCAACACACACACACTTATTTTCATTTATTAAGTGGCTCTTAAAATAGCCTTTGGGTTCGTGGAGAAGCACGCAAGTGTCAGTGAGCATGGTGGTGTGTACTACTGTGTGTGTCTTGCTAGAACCGAGGAGAGACCAGCTCTCAGACTCTCAAGGAAGAGGTCGTTGCCCTCATCCGTGAGATGCACGTCATCGCTGCGGTACTGCCTAGGGACACAGTGCTTTACGGCAGAGTGGCGGTTTGTGAGAATGCGCCTGTCACAGAGAAATGCAAGCTCAGCTGGCCCATTTGGAACTGACAAATGACTTATGCCACAGGGTAGTGGGTTCGATCCCCGGGAACCACCCATACGTAAAAATGTATGCACACATGACTGTAAATCACTTTGGATAAGCGTCTGCTAAATGGCATATTATTATTATTTAAATGTATGTTCTGTTCCAAATCTGTGAGTTTTCCCACTTGTTTTCCTATTTATAAATGAGGACCTGTGTTTTACTGGAGTTGGACAGCTGTGTTCAGCATTACTTAGGACGCGTGTAGCTGAAGTTTTGTATTCAAGGGTTTAGAGGAACCTATTAAATTTCAGATTTGTAAATATGACTATCATTTCTCTTAAGAGTTTTGTACTTGTCTAACGACTTTCTATTTTGCAGGTGTAGCCTCATCAGTTTGTCATCTGTTTTTTAAGTGTTTGTATCAGGAGTTCTGAAAATTGCTCTTGTCGTTCCACAGGGTTATGCAGGCTTTTTTGATCATGCCCAGTACTACCACACCTGATTCTACTACTCAGCTGTTCATCGAGACCTCAGCTGTTTCATCGAGACCTCAGCTGTTTCATCGAGACCTCAGCTGTTTCATCGAGACCTCAGCTGTTTCATCGAGACCTCAGCTGTTCATCGAGACCTCAGCTGTTCATCGAGACCTCAGCTGTTTCATCGAGACCTCAGCTGTTCATCGAGACCTCAGCTGTTCATCGAGACTATGAGTAGTAGAATCAGGTGTGGTAGAACTGGGCTTGAACAACAAAGCCTACTGTAATATTCATATGTGTCAGCATACTAAATTGTAATTGGATGCATTCTACCGTCGTATCATACTGCGCTATGATTGGTTAAGACCACCCAGGTGGGGAGGTCATCTTCAAGATGATCATGGCCGGAGACACATGAACATGCCAGTTATAGCTAGTTACAGTTTTTCTCCATTGGTTTGGCTCATTTCTTGAAACAGAAATTACATTCTCAAAACTCTAAGATCATTTGGCAAAACAGTCTTACAGTTCAGCACAACACTATAGCTCACTTGCAAAAGCTCATATCTCTCCTAAAACTGTTCACTCATGCTTCAAAACTAAATTCCTTTCCCATATAAGGAGTCAGTGCCACGAAAATGGCAAAGATCCTTCTCAATTGCTTTGGCTCATTTCTTGAAACAGACCGGACGTTCTCAACACTCTTGGTGCTTTAGCCAAAATAACGTGGATGGTTCGGCACAACACCATGGTTCACCTGCAAAAGCTCATACCTCTCCCAAAACAGTTCACGCATGTGTCAAAACTAAATTTCCTTCTCATTTAAACAGTCAGTGCCCCCAAAATGCTTCGTCCCTTTGGCATTGTGTAAGCACTGCAAGTCAAAATGTTTAGATGTTTTGTCACTATGGCAGAGGACCATTGAAATATCCCTCATGTCCACCTTTCAGTCTTAGCCCAGTCCTTCATTGACAATGGTTACTGTACTGTTTTTTGTCTAGCTAACAGAATACAATTGTGTATAAAACTGAAAAAAATAAATAGGATTTTAGGGTAAGAGTAGCCTCCAAGGTTTGACATCACACATTGCACTCATACTGCCAAGGAAATTGTAACCATTATCATTCACACACATAAAGTAACTTCCATACATCAGAGTAAAAAGAAAATGTATACAGCATAATATACTGTAATATAAACACACAAACAAAAAACAATGAAAATTATATGCAGCCTACAGTGCTGTAAATAAAGCTGGAGTTTCACAACTAACAGTTCTTCACTGGTCGCTGTCCTCACCCTCCTGGCCATCCACACGCTGCTGTCTGTCTGGCCACAGATTCTCGTCCACATCACAGCGTATATTCTCCCTTGCGATGCAACGAGGGAAGAAACGGCGTGCATGTCGCAACCATCCCCTACACTGATCTCCTGTAATATCCTCACACGCAGCGTCCATTGCATGGAGCAGGGACCTCTGATCTTGAGCCCGATGCTCATACACTCTCCACCTCCAAGCGGAGAAATACTCCTCAATAGGATTGAGGAAAGGAGAGTAAGGTGGTAGGAACACCATGACCATCCTTGGATGAGTAGTGAACCAGGCCCTGATGAGCGGGCCACGGTGGAAATTCACATTGTCCCATACAATGACATATTGTGGTAGGTGAGGCCCTACGAGACCGCTCTCATTTTCAGGGATCAAATCAACATGAAGGCGGTCCAAGAAGATGAGGAGCTTCTGTGTATTGTATGGGCCAAGACTGGGGATGTGAGTGGCCACACCATTCTCCGATATGGCAGCACACATAGTTATATTGCCCCCTCGCTGGCCTGGGACATCCACCATGGCCCGGTGGCCAATAATATTACGGCCACGTCTTCGGCCCTTGGCCAGGTGCCTCCATGTTCAGAAATTGTACTGGTCCTGCATGGTCAAGCTCTTTACATACATGTTTGGCAGCATTCACAGTCATGGACAGCACCTGTCAGGTAACTAAACATACTGTTTGATTGGTCATCTGAGATGTGTGAAACTCCTCCTTCGTTAGTCAAGTTCTAGTTTCACCTGACTGTCAATTGCTGTAATAAATTTATCAAATGTTCCAAGGGATTCATATATGGTATTCATGGTATTATGTTCTTGACTAATTTTGACAATTGAACAGACTATTGTGCATGTGATGACTTATACAATGAAATGACGCTGACACGTTTTGGAGCGAACAACCATTAGACTGAGAATCAACAATCAGTTTAGATCAACAAGATCTATTCACTTGGAAATTGTGCTAAATGTAGGCTACCTGTACTTAATCATTTGCAAAGATGTACTGAGACATTGAGACATGTACTTAGACATTTGCAATTTGATGAAATGAATGAGAAATTCAATTCTGTTGTGAACAATTGCCAAGTGGTTTGGAGGTTTGTCCATGTAGTTTTGAGAATGTAATTTCTGTTTCATGAAATGAGCCAAACCAATGGAGAAAAACTGTAATAAAGATCCTGTCGTGTTGCATTTTAAATATTTTGTACAAAGCATACAAAACAAGACACCTACATAAACCTGTAGCTGGTCAAGAGCAATTGTGGCCATCCCTGAATTGTATATACAAAGTTGACTGTATCTGATGAATGTACATTTGGTTGTAAATGTTATATTTAGTGATAACTCACCTTTGTTTACAGGTAACGTAGTACTGGGCCTTTCTTCAGTAAACTTTAAGGTACATGTTCATGTAATTAGCTAATTAACATGTTGACTCTTTGTGTATTTTCCAGGAGCCTGCTCGATTTTCTTAACATAGATACGGGACAATTTTCCCAGTTTACTCCATATTGGCTTAAATGGGTTTCTCCCTCTGGAAAATCAGCTGTTAATATTAAATAAATACTAACAACTATTTTATGCCTGTTGCCATTTGTCATTATTGTTTAGTTTTACTTAACTTTTATTACTGTGTTAAGCTGTACTATAATGTTGTATAATATAATGTTGAATAATCACCTTCAGGTGTAAAAAAACATGGAAGTTAAAAACCACAAACTACATTTTAAGTGAGAATAGGCATTGGTCTGAAGAAACAACAACAAAAAAAGGAAATTCACATGAGCACCCATGCTCTACCAAGGTTTTCCAGCACACAGCTTTGACCTACTACAGTAACTATGTTGGTGTTGTACTTCAAACTATGTGTAGGCAGGTTGCTTAGGATCCAACCCTCCTCAAACAGCCTAATTAATAATCTAATGGACTTTACAGTGTCCTGCTATTAGAATGATGGATACCAGTATATATATATATATATATATATATATATATATATATATATATATATATATATATATATATATATAATTTGGCTGTGTGTATTTTTAGATATAGGCCTGTTTTAAATGTGTATTATTGTCGCATCCCCATCTCTATTGCAAAAATAAATTCTGGTAAAAACATAACTTTAAGCAACATACTATTTTGACGGAGGTAATGAACTGTCCAGTGATCAGCACAGCAATTGATAAAACAGGACCATGTTTGAAACACAACGGGTTCTGTGCTGATGTCAATATTCCACAGGTAAGCTAACAGTTACCGAAATCAGGAATGCAGACAGGCTCTATCTATCTGAGCCACTGTGTTCAACACACCACCACCTGTTGTTATGTTGGGCACCTACTGACCAAAAAAGGATGTTATTATGATTTATTTTTTTATTTTATAACTTGTATTGTTAAAATAAAGGGTTAAGGAAATACATGCATGCACCACATTATTACAAGACAAAAGGTCTTGCAAGTATAAAAACAAAGCTTGCTTAAAAAACCTACCAATTCCTTTTAGAAGTGTCTAGGCCGGGCGAAAGAGCAATGGAGGGTTTGTTCAGGGCCAATCATGCATCCATCCAACTGTCAAGGGTCTATTCATTTGCTCTCAGAATAATAAACAACATCCTGCCTATAATAGATAGGAGGAGAGCAGGAACAGGTCTAGATACAGCAAAAGTCAACCCATGTTACACATTCACATTAATGGATCAGCAGTATCACAAGTCTAACACTCTATAGACTTGATTGGTCAGCGTATATGGACTACATTGGTCAGCATATTAGAATCCCGGCACCCAGGACTAAATCTCAGCTGGCTGTCACGAGTAACTATCAGCATATGGACTTCATTGCTCAAAAGGCTAACTTGCTTTCTTCCCTAAATATTTGCAGAGTGACAGAAAGTCAGAGTGAAATAAAAGCTTTTTAAAGAAGTGAATCACGTTTGTTGAGTCATTGAGGCTAATAGGTCACAAGACATCATGTCCCCAAATGATTCAGCTATTGATTGTGTAACATCTATTCAAACCACATCCCAATCACAAAATAGCTGCTCTCACAAATAAACTAGGGCCTACAACACAACGCAGCACATCTGGGCAATAACTATAAGAAAAGCTCTGAACAGGTGTAAGGGGTGCGCTTTTATACCATTTCACATCAGCCAATTAGCGTCCCAGGGGAAACACGGATCAAAACTATGGTTCCTATCCTGTCCCACAAATATAAATTACCGGTAGCCTATGCAGTACAAAGCCACCAAGACAATTTTAGTGTCTGCAAATCGTGTCAAATATCACTTTTATGTCAAATTCTGGTCTGCATTGAGGATACATTGTCTTGGTTTATACTTTACTTTATTGAGTTTATTTTTTGCAGGGACAGTGCACATCACAGGAGGTTGGTGGTACCTTAATTGGGGAGGAAGGGCTCGTGGTAATGGCTGGAGACGGATCAGTGGAATTCCATTTGCTCCCGTTCCAGACATTATTATGAGCCGTCCTCCCCTCAGCAGCCTCCACTGGTGCACATTAATCAACGTTTCAGTAAAAGTGGTGGTTTTAGCCAGCTGGCTAATTTTCAACTGCAGTCCCTGGGCAGGTTACTAAAATCTTTATTCCCACAATTTGATAGAAACACACGTCTCTGACATCATGCAGTACGGATTGGTTGCGTTCAAGAAACACAAATTCGGGGACCGTAAGCGCTTTACCAGACATTGTAAGGCTATGATATTCAGCACAGGTCTGCGCAAAGCATTTTTTATCTGGAACGCACCCATTGGCGATGATCACGCGCAGCTCTCTTAACTCCTGGAACGTACCCATCATCACATGATTTTGACTCAAACGTCGACACAGTCAGGTGATAAAAGTCTGTTGTTGTTGATTTCAAGTCAAATTGCCCAGTCATTGTGCTTGCTGGTCGGGTTGTAGCTAAAGTTATTCTGCAGCTTTAAAATGAAGGTTTTGTACCTATGTCTTTTCGCGGCACTTGCTTTGGCATCTGATGCACTCGTCCGGTAAGTAAAGACAAGTCATAGTAGCCGTGCTAGCAGTAGTTTGTTAGCTAGAAAAGCAATGCTCTTCAAACACTTGAGCTACCAGTTACGCCCTCAGTCAACTAGCTAGCATAGTATTACGAAATGGATAGCCCTAGCTAGGTTTGTGACTGTTTACTTTTCTGAATGAATAGTGAAGACGACCTGGGGCTACAAAGTGACGTTAGCTAGCTAAATGTTATCAAGTCGCACTCTAGCAAGGTGTTTGTTTTTCCATTAGCTAGTGCTCCGTTTCTTGCCCAGTGACAAGCAAACATGTGACAATGTGAAAATAGAAATTACAGCGAAGGTCAATATCCCAAACACGACTTAAGGCCGGTGTACAGACCGTCTATCGACATGTGTAGACAATTGTCGTAGCGAGATCATGAACATTATATTGTCGTCGGACATCAAACTTGTCCTATGTCTGCATGACATCAGCAGCCTCGTGCTCAACATTAAATACTTTCTCTATTTTAACAAAAATAAACCCATCCAATTAATTATATGGCAACCTATTAAGCCAGGCAACTAAAAGCTATTTTCTAAACAATGTTTTGGTTCGTTGCTAGCTAGCTAATTAGCTAGCTGGCTGGCTAGCCAGTTCAAATAAACGTTAATGACCATAGTATAGCTGACGTCTTAACTTTTAGCTACTTTTTATTCATTATTACAGGAAAATAAACCCACACAACGTTATTTACAAGGTAATGGTGAACTTATAGAAAATAGTGTGACGAAATAAAAGTAGGTCATTCTATCGGATAATTGTAGAACTTCCTGCATCATCTTGTCACAGTAAGATTTGGTCTGGTTGCTGTGGCAGTCCGGAAACCACGACAACGGACGTTGCGACAGTCGCAGATAACTTTCTTCACGTCTGTGCGACAAGGAAACTCAGTCGCAGCGATGGTGTGCAGACATGCCACCGAATTATTATTATTATACATTAAATGTCGTTCTACAGACATGTCATTAGACCAAGGATAAACTGGCCTTAACCTGTGTTGATAACACCCATCTGCTTCATCAATTCAACTGTGAACTTCCTATGTAATCTTGTCATGTTATCATTGATTCGTGTGTGCCTCATTGATTGTTCAAGCTCCCCATTCGGCAATGTCCTTGTAGAACAGATATTACACATAGCAAGGTTGCCACAGGCAGCACTTGTTCTAGCTAGCAAAGGATGTGGCCACCAGTACTCTTCACTGTGTCTCCTGTCTATTGTCTGAGAGCAGGAGACCTGTAACTAGTCAGACGTTGTTTCCCCAGAAAGAACTAGGTTGAGTAAATACTAGACAGGGCTCACCAGTAGGCCTGCTGAGATTCTGCTTGACCTACCAACTGTTCTGGGCTGGCTAACCATTTTCAAAGGAGTTCTCTGATAGATTCTCTCTCGCTATGTCTCCCTCTCTTTCCCTCCCCCTATATCTATCTCTCTCCCCCTCTCTCTCTCCCCTCTCGTTCTCTCCCACAGAATTCCGTTGAGGAAGTTCCGTTCCATCAGGCGTACCCTGACTGACTCAGGGAGGGCAGCAGAAGAGCTGTTGGCTGGGAAGGAACACACTAAGTACAGCAACCTGGGCTTCCCCTCCTCCAGCAATGGACCCACTCCAGAAACCCTGAAGAACTTTATGGACGTAAGACGATCCTCTAGTCACTACTAACCAGGGACCCTGGTAGTGGAGTAGTTTGCCCTTGGTTGCGTCCCTAGATGGCACCCTATTCCCTACATAGTGCACTACTTTTGATCAGAGCCCTACTGTGGGCCCTGGTCAAAAGTATTGCACTTTAATAGGAAATAGGGTGCCATTTGGGACAAAGACAACCTGTGACCTGTGTCAATGGAGTGGTCACACTTCACTTCGCTAATGCAATTTAGCACAAGCTAAAAGCCAGGCAGGCCAGGAGAAAACCAACAAAGAATCCCTTGTCGCCAGTCCGGCCGTTCCGGCTAGTCCTCCTAGCTAGCTGAATTAGAATTAGTAGCGTTACAAGGCAAGCCCGCCCACTCCCCCTCCCTATCCTGAAGGGAAGATGGAAAATTTCACATTTCCCATCAAAGTTGGGTGATCAGATCTTCAGTTTCTATGTGTGATGGAAAAATAACATTTGTCATATGCCGGGTAACTCAGCTTCCCATCGGTGTTGGGTCTAGTGACGGGATCTTTTTCTCTGTGTGACTGAACAGGAACTAGGAATAGTTGGTCATGTGACTGAGAGCAAGGAAGGCCTGATCTTCTAAGCTCCCTGAGGTTGATCAGCTGACAGTTTGTAGACCTTCTGTACGATTATCCAGGGCAAAGAGCCATGCGTTGTTTATGTAGTTTAATCTGAACTCCAGAAAAGAGACAGAGGGCCTTGTACACTCAGTGGGCATTTACATTTTTTTTAGGTCACAATCTAGTACCGGGGTCAGACCCCCCTTTTGCATCCAGAACAGACTGAATTCTTCGGGGCATAGAATGTTGCTCAACTGGTGTCAAGGGACCTAACGTCTGGCAGGAAAATTCCCCACACCATTACACCACCGCCAGCAGCCTGTACTGTTGACACCAGGCAGGATGAGGCCATGAACTCACGCTGCTTACACCAAATCATGATGTTGCATGACGCAACAGGAACCGAGATTTGTCTAACCAAGTGACGTTTCTCCACTCCTCAATTGTCCAGTGTTGGTGATTGCGTGCCCACTGGAGCCGCTTCCTGTTTTTAGCTGATAGGAGTGGAACCCGGTGTGGTCGTCTGCTGGTCCTGGAGAGCCGCAGGCACTTCATGTTTTTGGTTTAACCGACCTGGAAGACCAGGTGTGTTGAATTTAGTCAATCTGTGAACTAATCGATTATCTCAGTTGGTCAGGTGTGGTGCCTAGTTGGAACAATATCCTGCAGTACCTGTGGCACTCCAGGAACAGGGTTGCCTACCCCGGCCCTAGACACTGTCGTGCGTGAAAAGCCCAGGAACAGGGTTGCCTACCCCGGCCCTAGACACTGTCGTGCGTGAAAAGCCCAGGAACAGGGTTGCCTACCCCGGCCCTAGACACTGTCGTGCGTGAAAAGCCCAGGAGGCCAACAGTTTCTGAGCTACTGGAATCGGCGCCTGGCACTGACTCTTACAACGCTCAGTCGCTTAGGTCACTCATTTTGCCCATTCTAACGTTCAATCGAACAGTAACTGAATGCCTGTCTGCCTGCTTTATAAAGCAAGCCACGTGACTCACTGTCTGTAGGAGTGAACCATATTTTTGTGAACGGGGTGGTGTACCTAATAAACTGGCCACTGAGTGTATGTGTTCATGATATCAATTCCCCAGCATTGGATAAACATTGAGTAGCCTACACAGTAGTGTACAGCAGTCCTTCTGGTTTCTGAGTGTTTTCTCCGGGACTCTGATAGTTCCTTCCACCGAGCTGAGGGACGCGCGCACACACACAAAACTGTTGTGGTTTCCTAGACTCTGACAGGAAGTGAGTTGAGATATGTAGATTCCTCAAGCATTTTACCTAATATCTACCATATAAAATGTAATGCAATTCCTTTTTATGAAGCTTGAAAAGTTGGCACTGTGAATAAATAGTTTTAACCATGGAATGGTTTCAGCCACTTCATAATAACTTGCAGAGTAATTGAACTTTCACGTCAAACCACTTTAGATATCAACCAACCACAATACAACCACAGTGAATTGAATTCAAACCATTGTCCCTTCAATAGTCGGCTCATTAACAAGATAAAGGTTGTGTCCAAAATGGTACCCTATTCCCCACAGGGCTCTGGTCAAAAGTAGTGCACTATATGGGGACTACGTGCCATTTGGTACGCACCCTAAGATTGCTAATCTAATCACAATGAACTGGTCAACCAGTCCCAGGAGACTGAATTGACTTAAGAGGTTCATTTGCTATGAATACTAGAATGGAGAGTCCTAGGAAAAAGGAAGTTGAGTCACGTGTTGAAAATGTTGAGTAATCGTTCATTCTCTGCTTGCAACAGAAGGTTAGCTGACTGTTTACAGCGTGACTAGGAGAAGAGAAATCACTGACCTATTGGATTGACAGAAGAGGTAAAGTGCTAGATTTGACTTCTAGAAAGAGGGAAGTTGACTCCTCGTTAAACTGTGTAATTATTATTATTATTAGCAGAGTAACGCGCTTGGATCAGAAGGTTAGCTGACTTGTTTGTTCAACAGCGTGACAATGAGAAGAGGTCACTCTGACCTATTTACTTCAGACAAACCGTTTCTGACACCGGCAGAGCCAACTTCTATCAGTCGTGGAAAGACTGAACTAATCACATGACCTGCGTGAACAGACACGTTTAGGTAGATCTTGCTAGATCTGTTCAGGCCAGCTCACAACCTGTTGGAAGGGATTGCCTTCACTGTATCCCTACACCGGGACGTTAGCAAAGCATAGGGATCTTGTTCTTCTGAGTGAATAGGCATATCAAGAACCAGCAGAAACTGGGCCTCCGTCCTCGACCAGTTTGGGGTACACTGTAATTACCCTACTACCTGCTTTCTAGTCTGGGAGCAGTGTGCTTGATGGAGTCCTTGAAACTAGCCCACACAGTTATTTTTGTTGTTTTTTTATTTCATGCAGCCGTGTGTGTTTTGTTTCACAGGCTCAGTACTATGGTGAGATCGGCCTGGGGACTCCCGTCCAGACGTTCACTGTGGTGTTTGATACAGGCTCCTCCAACTTGTGGGTTCCTTCAATCCACTGCTCTTTCACAGACATCGCCTGCTGTAAGTCTACGCTGCGCTGCCTCAATCCCATATTTATTGATGCACTTGTCAAGTCCTCTCAGATCTCTACAAGTGCATAGGGGGGTCTAGGGTTGCATTTGGGAATGGGCCATTGACTCATACACACATGACCGGTGCTAGTAGGACCGGCTCACTTCCAGAAATCCAATTCTAGGTTTAATCTGTTTCTAAGAATCCTCTCTGTTTTATTGTTTATTTGTTTATACTTTCTGCCAAATGCCTCATTAGTTGGATTAGTTGAGCGCTTCAATGTGTTTTCTTCTAGGTTATATAACCATTTAATATTGGCCATTTTGACAGATTAAAGTGATACTTCCCTTCTGTCTGTCTGTCAGTGCTTCACCACAAGTATAACGGTGCCAAGTCCAGCACGTATGTGAAGAATGGAACCGCCTTCGCCATCCAGTATGGGTCTGGCAGTCTGTCTGGGTACCTCAGCCAAGACACATGCACGGTAGGCACAAGGTTACACTGTTGTAAAATAGGCCTAGCATCTGAAAAGGCGCTGGATAATTCAAGTCCGTTGTCTCTATTGTACTATTCTCCAAAGCAATGCCTTTAAGGCAGTTTTTTTTGTGTGTTATTCTCAATTATTTTAAACACTGTGTTTCCACTTGTCTGCCTGAAATTGTCAAATAAAATCAATCTCTCTGTGTTATGTGTCAGTTTGGAGACCTGACTGTCTAATAGTCTTTTAATGGATGTGCTGCTTCACCTCTCTGGTAGATTGGAGGACTGTCCATAGAGAGGCAGGGCTTCGGTGAGGCCATCAAGCAGCCTGGCGTAGCCTTCATCGCTGCCAAGTTTGATGGCATCCTGGGCATGGCCTACCCACGTATTTCTGTGGACGGGGTCGCCCCACCGTTTGACAACATCATGAGCCAGAAGAAAGTAGAGCAGAATGTGTTTTCCTTCTACCTCAACAGGTGAGACAGACAGGACTGCCTCAGGTATTTCTGACACCAGAGTCCTTTTTTGGAGATTTAGGACCAGTTTCCTGGACACAGATTAAGCCTAGTCTTGAACTAAAAAGCCTGCTCAATGGAGCACGTCTATTGAAATAGCTGTTTTGTCCAGTACTAGGTTTAATCTGGATCTAGGAAACCAATCCTAAAAGTCTGTATAGAAAAATAGTCAAATGACGTGTGTTTGGTCCTGTGTGTGTGTGTTAGGAACCCAGACTCTGAGCCCGGCGGTGAACTCCTACTGGGAGGAACTGACCCCAAGTACTACAGCGGAGACTTCCACTACCTCAACGTCAGCCGCCAGGCCTACTGGCAGGTCCACATGGACGGGTGAGTGTTCATCCTTTACCATTCATTTATATGCTGACACTTGTTTGTTCAAGTTAGTAACGATCTGCTACATTAGCCATCCATCTGTTGCTGGACACTGTTATAATATTATTATTATTATTATGTCTGAGGTCAGATCTGTGGCAGACTTTTTGGAGGACTTTTTAAAGCACTGGATTCCCTTCAGAATCTCAAGAAACTTTACCCCACCTCTTGCTGTACACATCAAACAGGAGCTTCTATAAAAATAAAAAATAAATAACCTTCTTCGAACTAGAAGCCTTCCAAGAGGAACCAAGGCTGGCCGAGGTAAATGAAGAGAGATTTTCACTGTTTGTATCGGGCCTGCCAAAACTCAGTCATGTGGAAGTGCCAAGGGACAAAGTCTTAACTGCAATAAAGAAAGCGGAAGATTTCTACAGGATCATCCAGGTCAGAAATTGGTTGTGTAACGGAAACATGGGCACATGAGAACATTCCAGATGAGTCCCTAAACATAGAGGGTGTTCAGAAAGGACACATCTGTCTAAATATGAAAAGAAGAGGGGTGGCCATGTATGTGGATAGTCTCCAGGTTAGGAGACGGGCGGACCTTGCAAGAGATGAGTTTGAGTGTCTGGATCCAGTTGCGGCTAATGAGAAGAAGCTGCAGCAGGAAGCCATTGACCTATCTCATTAACGCCATCGACTCTGACGTTGAAGTCACCTGAAACGGGTATTGTCTTATGTGGGGATTTCAATAATCTACCTTCCAAGGCCCTCAACTCTCACCCAGGCCTAAAACAGGTTGACGAAAACAAGACCAGTGGAGACTCCATGATTTGATCTGATCATAACAAACAACATTTTTAAAAAGGCTAGGAACGCTGTTCAGAGGCTCATCCAATGGACTACGAAAAACTACTAGACTAAAATTTAAATTCAAGCACTCAAAAAGAAGAATCCGAAAGCGATGTGGGACTTCATCAGCAAAGAGCTTGGCCGATCGAAATCATCTGGAGGTACGATACAGATTGATGGTGTGGAAACTGACGATGTTGCTGAGGTCCTGAACATCTTCTTTGCTGAAGCATGGACAGGAAATGCATCCCCCCCCCATGGATCTAGCTCCAGTGGTCACACACTTAGTTAACGCCTATCAACTGGCTCTGTACCTTCAGTCTGGTAGACCGCTACCATCTCTCCATTCCTAAGGTCCTGGAGGGGGGGAAAAGTCATTGGACACCAATCTCTCTGACATCTTGTCTGAGGAAAAGTCTCATTGTGAAGAAGCTCATGCCAGTTGCTCTTGAGGAATGCAAAAAAAAAAATAGTGCATACTTGCCTAAACACAGAACGACACATGCTCTGGTCAGAGCCACACACACCTGGCTTACAGAGGCAGACTCCTAAAGCAACCCACAATGGTCCGGGTTCTGCTGGCGGACATGTCAAGGCTTTTTTTTGATTGTGTCGGCCATGCTAAACTCCTTCAGCATCTGACCGGTCTGTGTCCAAGGCTACTGACCTGGCTCCGCAGCTACACAACAGGGAGAACCGAGGGGTGATTGCTAATGGAATGTACAGCTCATGGACAGGGGTAACATCTGGAGTCCCCCAGGGGTCTCTCCTTACCTCTTCCTGCTCCACATGTCCACTCAGTGACTCCTCTTTGAGGACACACTGGCTACGCTGACGACGTTGGGCTGTCCCGTGCTTTTAAGGCTAGCAAACATTGAAAATGACACCTCCAATAGAGGAGGCGAAGCAACTGGAGGAATGGGAAGCAGACAACATGTTTCTTAATGGAAAGGCTGTCCAACTAAGAATCTGCTTCTCCCAAATTCCTCCCCAACCAGCTCCACTAATCCTGGATGGACTGGCTATTCCAGTTAGAACCAGCTCCACTAATCCTGGGTGGACTGGCTGTTCCAGTTGGAACCAGCTCCACTAATCCTGGGTGGACTGGCTGTTCCAGTTGGAACCAGCTCCACTAATCCTGGGTGGACTGGCTGTTCCAGTTGGAACCAGCTCCACTAATCCTGGGTGGACTGGCTGTTCCAGTTGGAACCAGCTCCACTAATCCTGGGTGGACTGGCTGTTCCAGTTGGAACCAGCTCCACTAATCCTGGGTGGACTGGCTGTTCCAGTTGGAACCAGCTTTTTCTATTTGAACAGGGAAGACATTGAGACCCAGGTCTCTATTTACAAACGCACCCTGTATATACACTGACTGTGATGGCAAGAAACGGCCTTACCACTGACGTTGTGGCATCCACACCACCCTGATCCGACCGTGCCTGGAGTATGCCAGTGTGTTGCTGTTGGGCTGCACAAAGAAGCAGTAAGCTACGCTGGACCGGGTACAGAAAAGGGCAAGCAAGATGATAACAAAAAAAACAGAGACCTCCCACTGACCCTTCCACCACTAACAGTCACGGAGAGATCAAGCTGCAGTGTGATGGATCACTGACGTGATGCACCACCCTGATCTGCTACCACAGAGAAGAGGAGACTGTACTGGCAGAGTCCTCCAGAGCCAACTGTACAGCATCAACGCAAGGACAAATGGACTGATTTTTGTTTACCATAACCACTGCCATCAGACATATTAATGGCCAAATGTGACTTTAAACTAATTTCTTGTAAGCTAGGACGTTTTTTAATTTAATGTTTTGTCTTTTATCTTGTTTTAAAGTATTCTCTAGATGGAACTGTGCATTCTGCAAAATTCAGTCTTGTCGACTGCGTGCATGACTCAATGCTGTTTTCACTATGTAGGGAGGGAACTGTAAACTTAAATAATGAGTTATTGGTTTGGTGTTTTGTAAATCGAGAAGCCTGTGAAAAGGGAATTTACTGCTCTGAGGACAATGGATCTATTGTTACCTTCTGTAAGCATGCAGCCCTCCTTCCACCAAGGGAGCTGTATTTAAACGTGTGTGTGTGTGTGTACAGGTTGGGTGTGGGGAGCCAGCTGGGTCTGTGTAAGGGAGGCTGTGAGGCCATCGTGGACACCGGCACGTCCCTCATCACCGGCCCCACGGTGGAGGTCAAGGCCCTGCAGAAGGCCATCGGAGCGATCCCACTCATCCAAGGAGAGGTAAGACGTAGGATCATCCCCACTCAGGAGACGTAAGGGAGAGGAGCCCCACCACTCAATATCTACTCGTTATGTGATCAAGAGGAGCGATTCATCTAAAGAACTCCTAGATGGAAGAAAGTCCTTGCAAACCAATCTCCTCCTCCTCTAGTTCAGCACTATGGTCCCAGCTACATTCCCCCTCCTCCTCCTCTAGTTCAGCACTATGGGCCCAGCTACATTCCTCCTCCTCCTCCTCCTCTAGTTCAGCACTATGGGCCCAGCTACATTCCTCCTCCTCCTCCTCTAGTTCAGCACTATGGGCCCAGCTACATTCCTCCTCCTCCTCCTCCTCCTCCTCCTCTAGTTCAGCACTATGGGCCCAGCTACATTCCTCCTCCTCCTCCTCCTCCTCCTCTAGTTCAGCACTATGGGCCCAGCTACATTCCTCCTCCTCCTCCTCTAGTTCAGCACTATGGTCCCAGCTACATTCCTCCTCCTCCTCCTCCTCTAGTTCAGCACTATGGGCCCAGCTACATTCCTCCTCCTCCTCCTCTAGTTCAGCACTATGGGCCCAGCTACATTCCTCCTCCTCCTCCTCCTCTAGTTCAGCACAATGGGCCCAGCTACATTCCTCCTCCTCCTCCTCCTCTACTTCAGCACTATGGGCCCAGCTACATTCCTCCTCCTCCTCTAGTTCAGCACTATGGTCCCAGCTACATTCCTCCTCCTCCTCCTCTAGTTCAGCACTATGGACCCAGCTACATTCCTCCTCCTCCTCCTCTAGTTCAGCACTATGGGCCCAGCTACATTCCTCCTCCTCCTCCTCCTCTAGTTCAGCACTATGGGCCCAGCTACATTCCTCCTCCTCCTCCTCCTCTAGTTCAGCACTATGGGCCCAGCTACATTCCTCCTCCTCCTCCTCCTCTAGTTCAGCACTATGGGCCCAGCTACATTCCTCCTCCTCCTCCTCTAGTTCAGCACTATGGGCCCAGCTACATTCCTCCTCCTCCTCCTCCTCTAGTTCAGCACTATGGGCCCAGCTACATTCCTCCTCCTCTAGTTCAGCACTATGGGCCCAGCTACATTCCTCCTCCTCCTCCTCCTCCTCTAGTTCAGCACTATGGGCCCAGCTACATTCCTCCTCCTCTAGTTCAGCACTATGGGCCCAGCTACATTCCTCCTCCTCCTCTCTAGTTCAGCACTATGGGCCCAGCTACATTCCTCCTCCTCCTCCTCCTCTAGTTCAGCACTATGGCCCAGCTACATTCCTCCTCCTCCTCCTCCTCTAGTTCAGCACTATGGGCCCAGCTACATTCCTCCTCCTCCTCCTCTAGTTTCAGCACTATGGCCCAGCTACATTCCTCCTCCTCCTCCTCTAGTTCAGCACTATGGGCCCAGCTACATTCCTCCTCCTTCCTCCTCCTCCTCCTCTAGTTCAGCACTATGGGCCCAGCTACATTCCTTCTCCTCCTCCTCCTCTAGTTCAGCACTATGGGCCCAGCTACATTCCCTCCTCCTCCTCCTCTAGTTCAGCACTATGGCCCAGCTACATTCCTCCTCCTCCTCCTCCTCTAGTTCAGCACTATGGGCCAGCTACATTCCTCCCCTCCTCCTCCTCTAGTTCAGCACTATGGGCCCAGCTACATTCCTCCTCCTCCTCCTCCTCTAGTTCAGCACATGGGCCCACTACATTCCTCCTCCTCCTCCTCTATTCAGCACTATGGGCCCAGCTACATTCTCCTCCTCCTGCAGCACATGCCCAGCTACTTCCTCCTCCTCCTCCTCTAGTTCAGCACTATGGGCCCAGCTACATTCCTCCTCCTCCTCCTAGTTCAGCACTATGGGCCCAGCTACTCATCCCTCCTCCTCCTCCTCTAGTTCAGCACTATGGCCCAGCTACATTCCTCTCCTCCTCCTCCTCTAGTTCCGCACTATGGGCCCAGCTACATTCCTCCTCCTCCTCCTCCTAGTTCAGCACTATGGGCCCAGCTACATTCCTCCTCCTCCCTCCTCTCAGTTCAGCACTATGGGCCCAGCTACCATTCCCCTCCTCCTCCTCCTCTAGTTCAGCACTATGGGCCCAGCTACATTCCTCCTCCTCCTCTAGTTCAGCACATGGGGCCCAGCTACATTCCTCCTCCTCCTCCTCTAGTTCAGCACTATGGGCCCCAGCTACATTCCTCCTCCTCCTCCTCTAGTTCAGCACTATGGGCCCAGCTACATTCCTCCCCTCCTCCTCCTCTAGTTCAGCACTATGGGCCCAGCTACTTCCTCCCTCCTCCTCCTCTAGTTCAGCACTATGGGCCCCAGCTACATTCCTCCTCCTCCTCCTCTAGTTCAGCACTATGGGCCCCAGCTACATTCCTCCTCTCCTCCTCCTCTAGTTCAGCACTATGGGCCCAGCTACATTCCTCCTCCTCCTCCTCCCTAGTTCAGCACTATGGGCCCAGCTACATTCCTCCTCCTCCCCTCCTCTAGTTCAGCACTATGGGCCCAGCTACATTCCTCCTCCTCCTCCTCCTTTCAGATTCAGCACTATGGGCCCAGCTACATTCCTCCCTCCTCCTCCTCTAGTTCAGCACTATGGGCCCAGCTACATTCCTCCTCCCCTCCTCTAGTTCAGCACTATGGGCCCAGCTACATTCCTTCCTCCTCCTCCTCTAGTTCAGCACTATGGGCCCAGCTACATTCCTCCTCCTCCTCCTCTAGTTCAGCACTATGGGCCCAGCTACATTCCTCCTCCTCCTCTAGTTCAGCACTATGGGCCCAGCTACATTCCTCCTCCTCCTCCTCCTCTAGTTCAGCACTATGGGCCCAGCTACATTCTCCTCCTCCTCCTCTAGTTCAGCACTATGGGCCCAGCTCACTATGTCCTCCTCCTCCTCCTCTAGTTCAGCACTATGGCCACTACATTCCTCCTCTCCTCCCCTACAGTTCAGCACATATGGCCCAGCTACGTCCTCCCCTCCTCCTCTTAGTTCGCAGACCTATGGGCCCAGCTACATTCCTCCTCCTCCTCCTCTAGTTCAAGCACATGGGCCCAGCTACATTCCTCCTCACTCCTCCTCTAGTTCAGCACTATGGCCCAGTACATCTCCTCCTCCTCTCTAGTTCAGCACTGGGCCCAGCTACATTCTCTCCTCCTTCTCTAGTTCAAGCACTTGGCCCAGCTACATTCTCCTCTCTCCCTAGTTCAGCACTAGGCCCAGCTACATTCCCTCCTCCTCCTCTAGTTCAGCACTATGGCCAGCTAATTCCTCCCCTCCTCCTCTATTTCCACTATGGCCCAGCTACATTCCTCCTCTCTCTGTTCAGCACATGGGCCCAGTACATTCCTCCTCTCCCCTAGTTCAGCACATGGGCCCACTACATTCCTCCTCCTCCCCTAGTTCAGCACTATGGGCCAGCTACATTCCTCTCTCCTCATTTCAGCACTATGGCCCCCTCATCCCTCCTCTCCTCCTCTAGTTCGCACTAGGTCCCGCTATCAGCATTCCTCCTCCTCTCAAGCATATGGCCCAGCTACATCCTCCTCTCTCCCTCTTTCAGCACTATGGGCCAGTACATTTCCCCTCCTCTAGTTCAGCACTATGGGCCCAGCTACAGCTTAATGAAGTCCTTTTGACCTGGCCCATCCTATTTCTTAGAGAACTGTACCCCACTTTATGTCCTCACTACAATAGCACCATCACTGAGTGTTTCTGCTTGTGTTTCAGTACATGGTGAACTGTGACAAGATCCCCACCATGCCTGTCATCACATTCAACCTGGGAGGACAGTCCTACAGTCTGACTGCAGAGCAGTACGTCCTCAAGGTGAGTCTCTCCTCTCGGTCTCTATCTGGAGATTCTACATTGTTTTGCTATAAGTAAGATGGCCAGCAGCGAGCGATGTAGATGGCCAGCGAGGTAGATGGCCGGCGAGCGAGCGAGGTAGATGGCCAGCGAGGTAGATGGCCGGCGAGCGAGCGAGGTAAAGTTAAGTCTAATTCAACAACCATAACAACAGTGTCCGCTCAGTCAGTCACTATACCACACAAACAGGGTGATCGCTTCCTGAACTAAACATTCTCAGAACCATGGGAGACAACATGCATTGATTTGAATGTTTGTCTCGGAAATGAATTCCGTTATTTCAACTATTATTACTGTGTAATAATGGCCTACTGAACTTTCCTTACAAACCGTCCTCCTGTTGGCTACGATGTTAGTATCTCTGTCGTTTGGTCATTACATATCAGGCCCTTGTTCATTAGGGCACACCGTAGCAAAACATTGTGCAACAGAAAACAAACAACATTTGCATTTCAGCAATGAACCAGTGCAGATAGTACCCGTCTGTTTCAAACTGTTTGGTGCTTACTGGACACGATCTGGGCCCCGTGTGGGACTGTGTGCGTCTCTGTATTCCTTCCCCCTTCTGCCCTGCGTCTGACTGTGCGTCTGTGTATTTCTTCCCCCTCCCAGGAGACCCAGGCTGGTAAGACCATCTGCCTGAGTGGCTTCATGGGCCTGGACATCCCCGCCCCCGCCGGGCCGCTGTGGATCCTGGGAGATGTATTCATTGGCCAATACTACACTGTGTTCGACCGTGACAACAACCGGGTGGGCTTCGCTAAGTCCAAGTAGAACTACAACGGCCACGTCCCCATTCTCCACTGTCCATCTACCCTTCTCCTGAAGTGTACTTGTCATGGATTTGGAGAATCGGGAAGCAGCCAATGTTTTGGAACAATGTTTTGCGGGTACATTAAGTGGTTCTAGATTTTACGATTTTTAGACAGGCAAAATCAAAGTGTGGGGAAAGACACTACTTGTGGCTTGGCTGCACAAGCTTTCCGTTGCTTTTATGAAATCTTTTTTAAAAAGTAGCAATCGATTTGTGTAGAGTTCAAATGCACTGATCTAAACAAGCATTCATTTCTGAACGATTTGCTACGAGTGTGAAAGTAAAACGGAAACCGTGGTGATGTTGGAGAATGTACAGGATCGGGAGTCAAAGATGATTATCAGAACGGACCTTTTTGAGTTTTACCATCTATCTGAGTGATCTGCTGTACGTGTTAAATCAGGGACTTGTATTTTAAAGCAACAGAACAATGTAACATTTTTAATTTGCGTTTTATGAGGCAATGGACCTCCGTGTCAATGACTTTAAGATGTATCTTCAAATTATTGGATTCAATAAAATAATTGTAAAAAGTGAAGTCTCCCTTTTCTTGCATGTCTGTCATTCCCCCTTTTGAGTAGATGCTCTATTTCAGAAGAGCCGGTCACACAAATGTCAAAGGTCAGGATAGATATTGTCATTTATCAGCGTAGTAACAAACCCTCACCAAGTGACCCATGTGACCCCGTACTGGTCACGCCCCTCTTGTTAGTGGAGAGAGATTTTTCTGTTTTAAAGCTAATTTCCTGCAATTCTACACATTTTGACATGTCTTATGTGTGTTCATATGATACCTGAGTGACTCAACAAAATCAATGGGGGCCCCCCCAGGGGCCGAGGGTCATGTAATCTGGCCATGATGACTACAAGATTTAGATGGGTAAGTTAGGCTATCTAGCTAACATGACCAGTAGTTGATCAACTGGACGTTTCGGACACATTTTAAACAGCTCTCTAAGGTCTGTCAGTGAATGACATAATGAGGAAAACTACCCATGCACTAACAAATTACAAAATTGCACCTTGTGCATTTTCACATCAGTCACTTTTTTTTTTTCACTTCAATCAAACTTTATTATTTTATCAAATATCTCTAATAACAAGGGTTGGGGTAAATTCCAGTCAATTCATAAAGTAAACCCAATTCTAATTTGAAATATTCCTCTTTTAAAAGGCGTTGAAGATAATAGGAATTTCAGTGTACTTCCTGAATTGACTGGAATTTAAACGGAATAGTCTGCTAATAACTCATAAATAGTATAAAATGTCAGAATTTGTATCTACATCCTTTACATACTGTAACACTAAAGGTTATTACATAAATCATTTCATTTTTCTCTCAACGTGATAAATAAAAATACAATCCACAAAAATGTCCTCAATTTGTTTAGTCTTCAGTAGACATGCTCTCCTTCAAACTCGTTTTCAGTGGTTAAAAAAAAAAATGTCCACATTTTAAATAGTATTTTTTCCTCATTAGTAATGCTCATCGAATGTTTCCCAAGGACTTGATGGATTCGCTGTCAGAGATCATTCATAAAAAAAGATACCAAGTTAAATAAGTATTGTATCCGACTTGGTCCAACGTCTTGTGGTTCTTCGTATAAATGGTCTTTATATATTGAATGGCTCACCATATATTGAAAGGAATAGCTCACCATATATTGAAAGGAATAGCTCACCACTTATCCAAAAAGGGTCATTCCTTCCCATCTGTGTGAACTTGTCCATATTCCAGAATCCCACTCTGGAATCAGGTTTTCACATGATGATGGAAACGCCCTTCCTCTTCACGGCTGGGGTATGTTCTTTGGAGCGATCACTTCTCACTGATACAGTTGAAGTCGGAAGTTTACGTTCACCTTAGCCAAATACATTTAAACTCAGTTTTTCACAATTCCCGACATTTAATCCTAGTAAAAATTCCCTGTCTCAGGTCAGTTAGGATCACCACTTTATTTGAAGAATGTGAAATGTCAGAATAATAGTAGAGAGAATGATTTATTTCAGCTTTTATTTCTTTCATCACATTCCCAGTGGGTCAGAAGTTTACATTCGCTCAATTGGTATTTGGTAGCATTGCCTTTAAATTGTTTAACTTGGGTCAAACGTTTCGGGTAGCCTTCCACAAGCTTCCCACAATAAGTTGGGTGAATTTTGGCCCATTCCTCCTGACAGAGCTGGTGTAACTGAGTCAGGTTTGTAGGCCTCCTTGCTCGCACATGCTTTTTCAGTTCTGCCCACACATTTTCTATAGGATTGAGGGTCAGGGCTTTGTGATGGCCACTCCAATACCTTGACTTTGTTGTCCTTAAAGCATTTTGCCACAACTTTGGAAGTATGCTTGGGGTCGTTGTCCATTTGGAAGACCCATTTGCGACCAAGCTTTAACATCCTGACTGATGTCTTGAGATGTTGCTTCAATATATCCACATAATTTTCCTTCCTCATGATGCCATCTATTTTGTGAAGTGCACCAGTCCCTCCTGCAGCAAAGCACCCCCACAGCATGATGCTGCCACCCCCGTGCTTCACGTTTGGGAGTGTGTTCTTCGGCTTGCAAGGCCCCCTTTTTCCTCCAAACATAACAATGGTCATTATGGCCAAACAGTTCTTTTTTTGTTTCATCAGACCAGAGGACATTTCTCCAAAAAGTACGATCTTTGTCCCCATGTGCAGTTGCAAACCGTAGTCTGGCTTTTTTATGGCGGTTTTGGAGCAGTGGCTTCTTCCTTGCTGAGCGGCCTTTCAGGTTATGTCGATATAGGACTCGTTTTACTGTGGATATAGATACTTTTGTACCTGTTTCCTCCAGCATCTTCACAAGGTCCTTTGCTGTTGTTCTGGGATTGATTTGCACTTTTCGCACCAAAGTACGTTCATCTCTAGGAGACAGAACGCGTCTCCTTCCTGAGCGGTATGACGGCTGCGTGGTCCCATGGTGTTTATACTTGCGTACTATTGTTTGTACAGATGAATGTGGTACCTTCAGGCGTTTGGAAATTGCTCCCATGGATGAACCAGACTTGTGGAGGTCTACAATTTTTTTCTGAGGTCTTGGCTGATTTCTTTTGATTTTCCCATGATGTCAAGCAAAGAGGCATTGAGTTTGAAGGTAGGCCTTGAAATACATCCACAAGTACACCTCCAATTGACTCAAATGACGTCAATTAGCCTATCAGAAGCTTCTAAAGCCATGACATCATTTTCCGGAATTTTCCAAGCTGTTTAAAGGCACAGTCAACTTAGTGTATGTAAACTTCTGACCCACTGGAATTGTGATACAGTGAATTATAAGTGAAATAATCTGTCTGTAAACAATTGTTGGAAGAATTACTTGTGTCATACACAAAGCAGATGTCAAACCGACTTGCCAAAACTATAGTTTGTTAAAAATAAATGTGTGGAGTGGTTGAAAAACGAGTTTTAATGACTCCAACCTAAGAGTATGTAAACTTCCAACTTCAACTGTACTACCTCCCTATTGAATATAACCCAGATATCCTCTCCCTATAGAATATAACCCATATATCCTCTCCCTATAGAATATAACCCAGATATCCTCTCCCTGTTGAATATAACCAGATATCCCCTCCTATTGAATATAACCCAGATATCCTCTCCTATAAATATAACCCAGATATCCTCTCCCTATAGAATATAACCCAGATATCCTCTCCCTATGAATATAACCCAGATATCCTCTCCCTATAAATATAACCCAGATATCCTCTCCCTATAGAATATAACCCAGATATCCTCTCCCTATAGAATATAACCCAGATATCCTCTCCCTATAGAATATAACCCAGATATCCTCTCCCTATTGAATATAACCCAGATATCCTCTCCCTATAGAATATAACCCAGATATCCTCTCCCTGTTGAATATAACCCAGATATCCTCTCCCTATAGAATATAACCCATATATCCTCTCCTCTCAACCCTCCTTCTCTTTACCAGCTGAATCAGACTCTCCCTGGCTCTCCTGGTCTCCATGCCACCATCGACCTCTGTCTGGCTAGACATGCTCCTGTCTCCCCCCTTCACCTCCTCCATGTCCACCTCCTCCTCCTCCTCCTCCTCCTCCTCCTCAGTCTCCTCCTCCTGACCCAGCGTATCCGGAATGATCTCCACCTCGATCCCAGACGCATCCTCGTTCTCCTTGAACCACACTGACTTCCCTCCCTCCTTCCTTCCCCCCTTGGCGAGGATGGACCTCATCCCGTCCTTGTCTCCTCCTCCTCCTCTCCCCCCTCCCCTAGCGGGGCTGCTGGCCGGGCTGGGCTTGGCATGGTGGTTGTGGTTGGCGTACAGGCCGCAGAAGCCACAGTGGCGGTCGCTCCGGCGTCGCTCCAGGGGGATGGCCCTGCCTCTGTCCCCAGGGACAGTAGCACCTCGGCCCCTCTTGTCTACCGGCGCTGGGAGTCTGGGTCCGCCGCGCAGGGCATCACCCTCGGTACCCTGGTAGCCATCGTTGGTGTACTGCAGGCTGTCCTTGGGTCTCCCTGGGGGCCTCGCCATCTTCAGACATGGAACCAAACACTACAGACAGGGCAGAAGACAGGACAGCAACCATGTCAAATCTGTCAATTACAAGAATCACAGGATAATACCTTTATGTGTTGTGTATATCACTTGGTTAAATAAATAGTAAAAGAATAGAGGTAAATAGTCATAAATAATAGTAATAAAGTTGTCCTACGAGTTAAAAACTAAAGCACTAGAGACAGAAGGAGTAGAGAGAGAGAGAGCTGTCATTTACACAGAAGTTAATGAACCGTTGATCTCTAGGCATTGTTCAATGTCACAGATGCTTCTGCCTTCCCAAAGAGTTAGGTTCATTTATTTTGCTTTAACGCACAGAGAGCCCTTCTGTGAAGTACTACTCATAAATATTCAGCGAAGCTGTTCAATATGTTCAGGATAAATGCCATGCTCACAGGCCTTCCACTAGCGTCAAATCCTCTCCAGGGATATTAAACGAACCATCACTATCCCATTCAACAGCCCCGGCTAGCCTGCAAACCTGGTCCCAGATCCTGTCCAGGGATATTAAACGAACCATCACTATACCATTCAACAGCCCCGGCTAGCCTGCAAACCTGGTCCCAGATCCTCTCCAGGGATATTAAACGAACCATCACTATCCCATTCAACAGCCCCGGCTAGCCTGCAAACCTGGTCCCAGATCCTCTCCAGGGATATTAAACGAACCATCACTATCCCATTCAACAGCCCCTGCTAGCCTGGAAACCTGGTCCCAGATCCTCTCCAGGGATATTAAACGAACCATCACTATCCCATTCAACAGCCCCGGCTAGCCTGTAAACTTGGTCCCAGATCCTCTCCAGGGATATTAAACGAACCATCACTATACCATTCAACAGCCCCCGCTAGCCTGGAAACCTGGTCCCAGATCTGTTTGTTAAGTCCTGCCAAGGAGTTGGTAAGAGGACACAAACAGTTCTGACACTAGGTTACCTTCCTGTTAGGGCTAAGGCCGTTACCTTCCTGTTAGGGCTAAGGCCGTTACCTTCCTGTTAGGGCTAAGGCCGTTACCTTCCTGTTAGGGCTAAGGCCGTTACCTTCCTGTTAGGGCTAAGGCCGTTACCTTCCTGTTAGGGCTAAGGCCGTTACCTTCCTGTTAGGGCTAAGGCCGTTACCTTCCTGTTAGGGCTAAGGCCGTTACCTTCCTGTTAGGGCTAAGGCCGTTGCCTTCCTGTTAGGGCTAAGGCCGTTGCCTTCCTGTTAGGGCTAAGGCCGTTGCCTTCCTGTTAGGGCTAAGGCCGTTACCTTCCTGTTAGGGCTAAGGCCGTTACCTTCCTGTTAGGGCTAAGGCCGTTACCTTCCTGTTAGGGCTAAGGCCGTTACCTTCCTGTTAGGGCTAAGGCCGTTACCTTCCTGTTAGGGCTAAGGCCGTTACCTTCCTGTTAGGGCTAAGGCCGTTACCTTCCTGTTAGGGCTAAGGCCGTTACCTTCCTGTTAGGGCTAAGGCCGTTACCTTCCTGTTAGGGCTAAGGCCGTTACCTTCCTGTTAGGGCTAAGGCCGTTACCTTCCTGTTAGGGCTAAGGCCGTCTCAAAAACACTTGCAGGACAGGACTTTCACCAAATGTCATGCTGTGTAAATTCGTAAAAATACCAGCATACCACTGGGAAAACATTTTACATTTTTTACATTTTAGTCATTTAGCAGACGCTCTTATCCAGAGCGATTTACAGTTAGTGCATACATTATTTCTTATTTTTCATACTTGCCCCCCGTGGGAAACGAACCCACAACCCTGGCGTTGCAAACGCCATGCTCTAACAACTGAGCTACATCCCTGCCGGCCATTCCCTCCCCTACCCTGGACAACACTAGGGCCAATTGTGCGCCGCCCCATGGATCTCCCGGTCGCGGCCGGCTACGACAGAGCCTGGATTCAAACCAGGATCTCTAGTGGCACAGCTAGCACTGTGATG